ATCCTTTTATTTTTAATCTATTTACATTTTTATTTTTAAAGTTATGGGGAGTTGGTACAGTATATGAGTATAATTCTTTTAAAATCTAACCTACAATCGCTGCCTTTTCATTGGGGTGTGTGGCCCACTGACACCCATATATGCAGTGGGGGGGGCTGAGCCCACCTTTTGCTGGGTGTTTCCTGTGTGTGTCACGTTTGTCATGTCCCGGTCTTGCCTTCTTTTGTGTTATTTCTTATGATTCCACTTTATATCTGCTATTAACTAACTAGCTATATTTCTATTTGTAGTGATGACTAAGGAAGGGTCTGCATACGTCTTTACCACAATTTTCCTATGTCTAAATGGTGATATACCAATTCACATAAATTGAGACCCTCACTACAGTATTACTTCCATGCTCTCCCTTATTGTTGTGTCATGGACTTTTACCTTTACATTTATATTAATCTCATAATATATTAGCCCAGCTTAGCTTCAGATGAGGGTTTGGAAAATTATGGTAAAAAATGGAAGGAGAGTCAGAAAGTAAGCAAGAGAGGAGAATGAGACTCTTTCTTTTCTCTGGCTATCTTCACAATAGTCTTTATCTTTGTTTTTTTAGTAATTTGACTGTTATGTGTCTGGGTGTTTTTATTTTTTAATTATCCTACTTGGGCTTCTCTGAGCATCTTAGAACTGTGATTTATTTTCTTTCACTCATTTTTGAAACTCCTCATCCATTATTCTCCAAGTACTTCTGTTTTCTCTCTCCTCCTGGAATTTCAGTTACATATATGACAGTTTGATATTACCCCACAGCTTTTGAATCATCGGTCTTGTTTTATTTATTCATTTTTTTCTCTTTGAATAATTTCTATTGGCTTTCTTCAAGTTCAGTCTTTCCTCAGCTGTGCCAAGTCTATTGATGAACCTTCCAAAGTCTTCTTCATTACTATTGGCATGTTTTTTTTTTCATTTCTAGTATTTCCATCACAGCTGAAATTGCCCAAGTGCTCATATAGGTTACCCACCTTTTCCACTAACTCCTTTAACACATGAATCATAGTTATTTAAAGCTTCTGTCTCAGAGTTCCAATATCTGGGTCATCTCTGAGTTTCATCCTGTTACTTGTTTCTCTTGACAATGGATTTTTTTTTAGTCTCAGAATTTTAGTTATTAATGCCACCTATCTTATGGAGAATAGTAGAGACAGATAAATGATACTTATGCCTGGCCATGTGGGGGACTGAGTAAAATCTAGTCAGTCAAAATAGGCTTAGATTTTGTTGTTATTTTTACCTTTGGTACATCACAGCTTGCGTGTTCCTCCGGGGACTGGCTCTTACCTTTTACTTAATGTTGGGCCTGGGTGCCAGAGGGTTTGTTTTCCTGCTCTGTCCTCAACTTGAGCAAGTCCTTCTTACTTGTGTCATTCAGAACCTTGTGCCTCCCAAAGCAGTACACTGCTGTTGCTTGTCATTTGATACAGAGCTGCTGATGGGTGGAGGTAGAAGTTCTTGGTTCTCCTCGTGCATTCTCAGACGTAGGTAGGGCCTGTGCACCTGGGCCCTAGGGTGGGGCCTTTCAGAATTTCTACATCCTCCCCATGGCAGCCAAGCATGGCCATTTCTCATAAGGGAAATGTTCCTGCACATCTTCCAGTAATAGCCGATCTCTGCTTGGGATTAGTGCAGGATCCTGGACCCAAGGTTTTCTGTCTGTCCCCAGGGGTAAAAGGTTTTTACATTTTCTACCCCCTTGCAAGGCAGTGGCTCTGCCTGGCCAATGGAGGCAGGTTTCCCCTCTCTTCTATAGTGGCAAATGGCTTTTATTCATAAAAGAGAAAGGCCTGAAAAGTAGACTGTGTTTTACATGTGCCACCCAGTACCATTCTATCAACCACTACCTGCATGTCTGTGTCACTGAGGGGCTTCTTCTCACTACGCTCCTGTCCCAATCTCTCTCATTGTACCCAGTGGATACTGGTGGACAGGAACTCCTCAGTGAAGGAGAACTACTGTTATGTCAGGGCTCCTAGTAATTCTCAGCTAGTATTTTAGTCCACACGTTAAAGAATAATTTAAAATATTAGCTGATTACTGTTGGAAGACGATTCTTCCTGGGTCTCTTATGTTTCTGGCATGATTTGTGAATAGAGGCACTGACTGCCTTTGTTCTAGACTATCTTTTTGGCCTGGGAAAATAGCATCTCTCTCTAGAAGACAGACAGGTTTGATTACTCTCCACAATAACAAATGTGTCTCCCTCCAGAGCAAAGGGTAGGTGTGCTGATGACCCATTATCAGATATTTAGGTTCTCTGAGCTCAATGTTCCTCCCCTATAATGCAACCCACAGTAGGACGGGAGTCAGGGAACCAGCACAAATTGTTCATCGCTGTAACTGCATTTTCAGGATGTCACCAAGTCCTCTGTCTCGGATTCAGGAAACTGGCAAGCTGAAATAATTTGTAGGTAGGGTAAAATTTTAAACTCTTTCAAATTCTTGATAATTTTTTCTTAGTTGCTTTACTCACAGCCTCTGATTCTCTGACAAAGGTGAAGCAGTTCATTTGTCTTGTCTTTCCTCCAAAGGGCTTGTCACTCTGGAATTCAGTTCCTTTGGATGCCTTCTCTGATGGGTATAAGAAAGTTAGGACTTTTTTCTTCTTGGTAAGATGAGAGTTACATTCTCTTGCGGCTTTCTACATCTTAAATGGAAACACAGGCCCTGAGGTGTACCTACCTATTTGACAACTTTCTATTACCAAAGACAAGCACTTACTGATCTGCAAACTCTTATTGTTCAGCATCTAAACATATTTAAATAGATTTTAAAAGAAGCATAGCTTGGGGAATGAACTTCAGGAATTTTGGAGAAACAGCTGATGGAAAATTTCAACACAATGGCTGGAAGCAATGGACCCAGGATGTTTACCTTCCAGCGGCTGAGGCAGAAGAGAGTGAAAGAATCTGACTCAGATGAGATGTTATGCAAAATGTACGTATGCACGGCAAACAAGTCTTACAGAGGGTCTGGGGACAGAGAGCAAAACTACAACCACCTGGGAGTAGAGAGGGCTCTTGAAACTCTCAAAAATGGGCAGGAGGATGTGACAGAAAGACCTGGAAAGGGTTCGAAGGACGGATGGAAGAACAGCAAGCAGTGGTGTGAGGAAAACTTCTCCAGAGTCACCTTTCCTCCCCTCCACATTCACTCTCACTTTTTTGGGTGAACAGAATCTAGATTTCCTTTGTGAAATGTACCTCTTCTGCATTGTGGAAGTCTGTTTACTATTCCCTAACCACGATTCAGGATTCCCTGAATCATGAAAGATTACAGAAATATTTGGAACCAATTCAACACTGAGCTGTTAATTCTTGGCACATCAATCCCTGGTTCCTACCTTTTCTCAATTCCTATTTTTGTTTAACTTTTCTTCTAACTCTGTGAATTACCCAAAATAGTCAGCCCTCCATATCCATGGATTTTGCATCCATGGAATCAACCAACCATGGATCAAAAATATTTTCTTAAAAACCCAGAAAGTTCTAAAAAACAACACTTGTGTTTGCCACACGCCAAGCACTATGCTGAACGCACACGAATGAAGTGATGTGCAGGCACACCCTGCTACAGCCTATATGCAAACATAAATTATGTACAACTAACTTTGTCAGTGTACACATGGGACTTCAGCATCCTCAGATTTTGGTATCCAAGGGGAGGGGATCCTGGAACCAATCCCTCTCAGATACCAAGGGATGACTGTATTCCAATTTGCTTAAGTTAACCAGGGTTGAATCTGTGTTGCTTAAAACCAAGGAAACCCAACTGAAACAGAATGTAGTCCAGTAAAGGGCGTGACTGAGGCCAAAGAAACTTTTGAAGCCTGAAATCCAGATACTTTAAAAAAATTGTTAAAAGAACATGTATTAATAACTGTCAAATTGTACAATGACTAATTCATTTTATGTTTCTTTGTGCTTATAGTTAATTTGCACTTTCTAATGGTTAGGCTGACAATGTTTTATCACTACAAACTATATCTAGAGTTCAATCTCAGATCTCCCATGTCAGAAATAAAAACAGGGGGGTGAAGAGTAATGGTGGAAAGAAGAAGAAGGGATTAGTCAAAGAACATGTATGAATGACCCACGGACACAGACAACAGTGTGGGGACTGACTGTGGGAGCGGGGCTGGGCTGGGCTGGGCAGAAGAAGGCAAAAGGGTAAAAATTGGGACGACGGTAATAAAATAAACAATAATAATTTAAAAAAGAAATAAAAACAAATGAGAATGAACTAAAATAATACACATTACATGGGACGAGAAAAACCAAGGGAGGGGGTACTAGAGTAACAAATGACCTATATTACAATGAGATATATGCATTTATTGAAATTTAGCTCTTTATAATTTTTTAATTCCAGTTATGAAAGTGATTTGTACTAGACAAACCGTATGTGGAGAAATTTCAAGTACAAGATATACCAAGTGGATATTATAAAAAGAAATACAGTGAAGCACCACACAGGATGGTCTCAACAAATCTCGAAAAACACACAGAGCAAAAATGAAACAAACAACTGCTACAAACAGATAAGCCTGACAAGTGCTGTTTGAATGGACAAATTTTTTGGTTAATCTTGCCCTGTCGTTATATAAAAGAGGCCCAATGGCCCAGGAGATCAACTGGTTTGTCCAGAGCACACAAGGGTAGATTTCACACATGATTCAGAAGAGGGAACCCCTCTCTCTCTCTTTTTTTTTTTGAGGAGAATGACAGAACATTAATTCTTATTAATATGAAATTCAGCAATATGACTTGTAGAAATAAAAGGTTTTAAGATTCTCTTTTACATATATATTTTTTATACATGATTATATATAAGAATTATCATATACTCTATTATATATGATTCTCTCTATAAAGAATATATAATATACTAACACAATATATATTATATTGTGATATATATAATATATCTCACTGAGTCTTTTTTAGGGTAATCCAAAATGTTATAGAAAGAACTTATAACAAAAGGTTGTGTCCAGATAATAATCAAGATGAGACCACCCAATATTTAATATCCAAGATTTTTTGAAACACTGAGTACCAGAAATTTCAAGCAGCCCACTCTGCCACTGGTTAGTTTATCACAGGGTTACTCAACCTTGGCATTACTGACACATGGACAGGATAATCCCTTGTTGTGGGAGGCTGTCCAATGTGTTACAGGGTGTTTAGCAGCATCCCTGGCCTCTACTCACTAGATGTTGGTAATACCCCTAATCAAAAATGTCTCTTGATGTTGTCAAAAATCCCCTAGGGGGCAAAATTGCTCCCTGGTTAAGAAACACTAATTTTAACATCTTGATAGCAAACAAATACAACTGCCAGCTATACGATTCCATTGTGGAGTCATCTGTGATTAAACTAGAGTTACATTTATATTTTAGTTCAAAATGTAACAGGCTGGAACTAAAGTAAATTAATTATACCAGTTTTTGTCCAGAGCTGAGCTGTCCAATACAGTAGTTACCAGCCACATGTTGCTGCCGAGCACTTGAAATGTGGCTACTCCAAAGTGAGATGTGCAGTAAGTATAAAATATGCACTTGATATGAAAAAAATAAAAAATATCTCATTTTTATGTAAACTGAACTATTTTGGGTATACTTTGTGAAATATATTATTAAAATTAATTTCACCTGTGGCTACTAGAAAATTCTAAATTACATATATGGCTCACATTATATTTCTGTTGAAAAGTACTTGTTTAGAAGCTTGAAATAATTTAGTATTTTTAATGAAAAAAATTCTTAAGTCTATCAAGACAAGAAGACTTTGGAAAGCTTTCCACAGCCTTATTAAATTAGCTCACATCTGAGCATCATAACTCTTTATTATCATGCCTAAATGACTTTTCTGCTTTAAATACATTACTCCTCTCCCAGTCCTTTATTCTCATTTTAATTGGTTCTTTCCTTACTGCTGATTTATCTTCATGTTGTTCCTTATTATTCTCCTGAATACCACTTTCTTTCATCCACTCGGGATCTTTCCCAGTGGGATGTTGAGACACTGCAGCATCCATCATACGCAGAAAATTGTAAGCAGGAAGAGGAGGCTTCCACTCCTGAGCAGGTAAAATTGCTAGAAAAAAGATGCAATCAAGGGTTAAAGATGAAAGATATGAAAAATCATCCCATAAATATACTAGAAAATGTTTTATTTTGAAATATATATTAGTAGAGAAGAAGACTTTGTCAGTTTTATTAAGCAAAACTTTTTTACTACATTGTTTAAGAAACTTGATGTATTTCTCATTACTATTTTTACTTTTATATTTGTAAGCTATTACACTCCAAATAAAAGTACTATAAATAGGAAGAAAGCAAAAGGTCTCCTGCCAATTAATCTTACTGAGGTTTCAGAAAATACCAATATGTTTATGAGATTACCACACAAACAGGTATAAGTTAAAATGAAAAAGTTTCCTGCTTCCCTCCCTATCGCTCTCTTTATCCCAAAGAACTGGGACTGCTTCTTATGAATCACTGCAAAAAAAAAAAAAGTTTTGGCCTATACATATTTACTTGTTATCTAGACAAGTATTTCCTAAGATTTTAAAGCATTTACTGTTTTTGAAGCTTTTAAATCTGATGTACACACTTCATGAAAACAAGTTCATGTTATAAAAATAATTACAGATAGGAATAATTAAAAATTACTATGGAATCAACTGTATTATAAACAGATACAGATTGAATAATTTCTTAGGTGGGCTTCATAGCAATGAGCTTTAACACTATTTTAAAACATTGTTCATCAGAAAAAGAAAACTGATTTAGGCTTAATATGATGGCTATATATTTTAATATTTTTATGAGATAAATTAGCTAACTTTTCTCCATTTAGTAGAAAGATCTTACAAAATAATTTTAGAGTTTAGTTGCCCATTTAAAATATTCTGAGAAATAAATGATATAAGGAATTAGCCAAGGAAACCTTTTAAAAATAAATTTCAGTGAAATAATGTTACATGAAAAAATGAAGTGTTACCTGAAAAAAGATAAATGTCCATAAAATACAAACTTAAGCATTTCTCATATTTCAACTAAATATCTTTAAAAGCTTAGGAAATTCATTTAAATTCTAATTTCCTAGAGTAGATTAAAGCTGCACAAATGTACATTAAGTGTATCTACACTCAATGATATAATTTCTTTACTCACTGAATTACATAAAATCCTAGAACCTGGAACATCAGCAGGATATTAAGTTTAGGATACCCCTGTAATAGATGTTTCAAATTACTGTTGCCAGGTTAGCAAATATAAAAGTGACAAACAGATATAATATTTTCTTGAATATAATGACTAGGAAGGAAGAATAACTTTGTAGTTTGCAATATGCAAATAAAGTATCTTTATTAAAGATATTAAAGTATCTTTAAGAAAAGTTCAACTAAAGCATAGCACATATTTAGCAGTATTTAAAAAAGTAAACACTGCACCCTAGTGGTCTGAAATGAGAACAAAATGCCTAAAAGTGGGTATCAATTTTGCTAATTATTTGCTGAGGGGACAATACAAAAGTCTTAATGATTTCACTTGTAAATAAAACTGTACTCTCATTATGTATGGATAATAGATGCATTATTATCAAATAGAAGTGACATAACAGTTGAGCATTAATAAACAGCTGACATTTATTGAGCATTTACTATATACCAGACATTATCCATTTAATCCTTGCAAACTCCATGAGGTAAGGACAATTAATATCCCAATTTTATAGATGAGGAAACCAAGGCCTAAAAAGGTTAGAGAACTTGACCAAAGTTAAGTATAAATTTCAAATAAAAGCAGCTAGTGGTCTCAATTTCACAGAAATTAAAACATGCAGCAAGCAAGGTGAGGCAGACACCAGTGGCACTTTTACAGATTCAGGCTGCTTCAAGAATAGCTGCAAGACCCCCCCCCCGGGGCCCCCGCCCCTGCCCAGACCCCTGCTCCTGCAGAGGCTGCAGGAGTAACTTAAGAATTGGAGCACTGATACAAAGAAATAATGGAAACCCCTCAGAGTAAATTGGCAAAGGCATTCATGAACAAAATTGCAATGGGAGATGTACCAGTCTCTTGGGAAAATCAGAAGAATAAATCTGAGTCTTTGTTCTTGGTAATGGCTTGAGTTGAGGAATCAAAGCCCCTCAGGTATGCTCTTTGTAGAAAAGGATCTTTACATGAATTGTGGTAATACTTTAAATTTTATACTTTGTACAAAGTGCATTTGCATACATAATTTTATCTGATTTTTTAAAATAAATTTTTGACATAGAGTAGGTATTACTAATCTCATTTTATAGTTTTAGAGGAAAAAAAAGAGGACTTGCCTACAGACACACAGTAATTAAGGAGGCTTCATCATTAGCTCAGATTTGTGTGTATTTAAACATCAGCACTTGCCCTGGCTGGTGTGGCTCAGAGGATTGAGCACCAACCTGTGAACCAAAGGGTCACCAGTTTGATTCCCAGTCAGGGCACATGCCTGGGTTGTAGGCCAGGTCCCCAGTGGGGGGGCGCACGAAAGGCAACCACACATTGATGTTTCTTCTTTCCCTCTCTTTCTCCCACCCACCCTTCACCTCTAAAAATAAATAAATAAAATCTTAAAGAGAAAAAAAAACAAAAAAATCACTTTTTTTAAAGCAATTTCATTTGTGAGGTACCCTGGCCCTAGCTACGTATAATCAATCCTATATGACTGCCCTGGCGGGCGTGGCTCAGTATGTTGAGTGCCAGCCTGCGAACCAAAAGGTCGCCTATTTGATTCCCAGTCAGGGCACATGCCTGGCTTTAGGGCCAGGTCCTGAGTTGGAGTCGCATGTGAGAGGCAATCACACGCTGATGTTCCTCTCCCTCTCTCCTTCCCTTCCCCTCTTTCTAAATATAATAAATTATTTTAAAATAAAATATAAAAATAAAATATGTCCACAAAAAAATTTTTTAAATCCTATACAACTTAGTCAGAGTCCATGGGGCTTTAGTGTCCCGGCAGCTATATGACAACAGTCCTCTGATTCTCTGCAATAGCAATGCAGAATGAGAAGTGAACACAAGACTACCAGAAGAGTTCAAGGACTACAGAGGAAAGGACCCCTATACTGTGTGGGTACAATGAATAAGTCAGAAATGAATGAGTAATAACCACATAAATGCCTCCTTCCAGATTATGACTTACACAAGACAATTTGATCAATGTTTTATATTTCCTAGAAAAATATTAAAAATAAAATTATCTCAGAAAATTGACTTTAAAATATCATCTACAACTACCCAGCATAGCCAAATGACTGTGGAAATGAAGAACAAAGTTGGAGGAATCAAATCTCCCAATTTAAAACCTACTTCAAAGCTGCAGTATTGAAGACAGTGTGGTACCATCAGAAGGCACCTGAGTATCAGACATAAAACATGTACATCGATGTTCAGAATCGCAACATTCATAATAGTCAAAAACTGGATACAACCCAAATGCCCATCAACTGATGAATGGAGAAACAAAAGGTGATATATCCATACAATGGAATATTTCATCCATAAAAAGGAATGAACTCTTGATTCATGTATAACATGGATGATCCTTGAAAACCTATGGTAAGTGATTTCATTGACATGAAATGTCCAGGTCAGGCAAATCCATAAAGACAAATCAGTGATTGTCAGGAAGTGGGAGGAGAGAAGAATGGGGAGTGACTGCTAATGGTCACAGGATTTCTTTTTGGAGTAATAAAAATATAGGATTCAACAGTAGTAATGTTTGCACAGCCTTGCAAATATACTAAAAACCAATGAATTGTAGGCTTTAAAAGGGGGAATTTTATGGTATGTGAATTATATTTCAATAGAAGAAACAACCTACAGGACATTTACACAGTAATTTGGTTAAACTACCTAACTGAAGAGAAATGAAGCAGGCCACTTGGGAAGAACACATGTGCTACAATGGCTGACACAAAACAAATTCAAGTATCTGGTTAAATATGCACAAATATGCATAATGGTATATTTACACTACGCATGCTGGCTGAGAGAGTACACAACACTGGAGTCTGTGTACCACAACTCTGTGCGTATACACATATACATATATATTCACATATACAGACACGCCCCTTATTTTAGGATCCTACCATGAAGCAGTGCCAAAATACTATTAATAATATAGTTTATCTGGTATATAATAACAAAATCCTTGGATAGTACCTTGGAAAACCTTTCATTACAGCAAATTTCATACTATTCCCCCAATATACTAATGATCTAGGTTATTACAAGTTAACTTATTTAAATTATAGCAACAATCCTGTTGTTGCCATAATTATAGATAAATTAAGCTATAGGTCCATGCCACAAGTATAAAACCAACATCTATTCTCTTGTGGTCCAAAATTCTGACTCTGGAATGTAAGAGATCCAGGTGGAATACAAGCTTACTCATTTACTAGTTAATTATATTGACTTTTAAGTAGTTACTTAACTCTTTTACAGGTAATAATACTTTATATGACTTGTGAGAATTAAATGAGGTAAGACAATACATTTAAATAACAGCATTGTGCTAGACACCTAGTAAGCACTCAATAAATGTTAGCTATTACTATTAAATTTAATACAAGCATACTTATTTTTTGTGGGTAATAATACCTACCACTTAGAAGACTGTCCCATGTTATCAGCATATTAATAATATTTAGGATACTTATAAACATTACAACTCAACTAATTCTAGTGTTCATTAGCTACTATCCAGGTTTTAAAATCTATAAAACAAAATACATAATGATGTACATTAAACAAAAGAGAAAACTTACTGATAGGATGTTCTAGTCCTGCTTCTAATTTCTTAAGCCACAATGAAAGGTTCTGTTCAGTTATAGCCTGGTCTGAAGGAAATGCAAATACTTGGCCACCTGAATGCAGATTCACCACAATAAGAAGAGGAAGGGGAGGTAAAACATCAAAATAGGCCTGCAAGATTCTTCTCCCCACAGGAGTGTTCCTTCTACAAAAGACAGCAATTGAACATGCTAATTAAAATTTCTTTCTATAACACTATAAAGAAAATAATAATTTGTAGAATATTATCTTTTTAATATTTTATTTTAATTGTTGTTCAAGTACAGTTTTTTGTCTTTTAACAGAAATGCCCCATCCCAGCTCACCCCCCAAATATTAACCTTTAAATATATCATCAATCCAGTAAATTTACTTTATGAAAAGATGTCCTAAAAACCATGAGGTCTATAACTATGTTATTAGTAATCAGAGTCTTAAAAACTTTCTTTTAATATGGGGCATTGTTTTCTTCTTCTTTTTTTTCTTTTCTTTTTCCTTTTTTTTTTTAGAGAGAGGGGAAGAAACAGAGAAAGAGAGAAACATCCATCTGTTGCCTCTTATACACCCCCTGACCCCTTACTGGGGACCAAACCCACAGCCTAGGCACGTGCCCTGACCAGAACCAAACCAGCAACCTTGCACTTTGTGGGACGACGCCCAATCAGCTTAGCCACACCAGTCAGGACCCAATGAGTTTTAATAAAAAACAGGCATAGTCCAAAGATTTGACAATTTCAACTTAACATAATCAGTAGATTCCTTCTCAAGTTTAGCCAAGTATCTCATCACATCAGTTTAAAAATTAAATGGCTACAAAGTATAAAATACCAGGATACTTGCAATAAATATTTCTTTTTCCAGATAAAAGTGTCCTTCCTCAGGAAAAAAGAAAAGATTAACTTCAAACTAAAAAGATTTTTAAAATTATATTTATACAAGGAAACCATAAATTTAAGATAGCTTTCCTAATACAGCACATTTCAGATTATAAAAAATACTACTCTACTCTAAGATACCTATAAGAATAATTACCTAAAAAAAAAATCTGTCTCAAGCAGTAGGTTGTAGTGTAGAGAACTCTTCAACAGCAAAAATGTATACTGTCCCATTTTTATAATTTTTCAAATGAGACAAAAGTAAAATGTCTTATTTAATTATTTATTTATTTATTTTATTTATTGGTTGGTTGGTTGCCTCATAAGCATCCCATTCTGGGGACTGGGCCCGCAACCCAGGAATGTGCCCTGACTGGGCATAAAATCTGTGACCCTTTGCTCCACAGGTCTGCACTTAATCCACTGAGCCACACCAGCCAGGGCTATAAAATGTCTTTTATCAAATAAATTTGAAGAATGGATAGTGTGCATATATCTGAACTGTACTCACAAACATTAAATGTCACACATGCCATCTAGGACACACACCAGGAAATACTGTTTGTGAATGCACTGAAAACTTCTGTAACTTTTGGGCTACATTTAAAAAATAAAGCAGTACAAAAAAAGAAACTAAAGAAAAATGCCAAATACCACAGTGTTTATATTTCTGTATTTACCAAAATTTTCTCAATGGACATCAATTACTTTTAAAATCAGAAAATTATTACTTTTTAAAATTTACAGTATAACAACAAAAGCAAAGGCAACATAAGCAAAAAATAAACAAGTAGAACTACATCAGTAAAAAGCTTCTGCACAGCAAAGGAAGCCAAAAAAGTGAAAAGGGAACCTTCAGGATAGGAGGAAATATTTGTAAAACACATCTGGTAATGGATTAAGATCCAAAATAACTGAAAAACTCAGACAACACAACCAAAGAACCCCCAAACAACCCAATTTAATAATGAGCAGAATTGATTAAACATTTTTGCAAAGAAGACACACGGAGGTCAAGGTCAAGGAGTACAAGAAAAGGTGCTCAACACCACCAATCATCAGGAAAATGCAAATCAAAGCCATGATGACCTTCCACCCGTTAGAATGGCTATTATCAAAAAGACAACAGATAACAAGTCTTGGTGAGGAGATAGAGAAAAGGGAACCCTTGTGCACTGTTGGTAGGAATGTAAGTCAGTGAGATGGCACAGTATGAAGGTTCCTCAAATAACTAAAAATAGATTAATTTAAAAATTAGAACTATCCTATGATCCAGCAAGCAATCCAGTTCTGGGTAGGTATCCAAAAAAATAAATAAAAGCATGGCATCAAACAGATATCTCATTCCATATTCAGTGCAGCATCATGAATGAATAAACATGTAGGTATTCAAGTACTTACACATATACACACACACACACACAATATAATACTATTCAGCCATGAAAAAGAAGGAAATCCTGCCGTTTGCTACAACATGGATAGAACTTGAGGGTATTATGCTAAATTAAATAAATCAGAGAAAGGCAAATACCATACAGTATCACTTATATGTGGAATTGTAAGAAGTCAAACTTATAGAAACAGTAGAAAAGTAGTTGCCAGGAACTAAGGTTTGGGAAAATATGAAGAGGTTGGTGGTAAAAGGGTAAAACATTCAGCTGTAATAAGGTCTGAAGATCTAGTGTATAATACGATGACTATACTTGATAACACTATATTGTATAATTGAAATCTGCTAGGAGAATGAAAGTTAAAAGTTCTTTCCCTCTTCCCCATTTGTGTGTGTGTGTATAAATAGGGGAGGTGATGGATGTGTTAATTAACTAGATGGAGGAATCCTTCCACAATGTATACATATATCAAATCATCACAATGTAAATTTAAATTTTACAATTTTGTCAATCATACCTAAATAAAGCTGAAATATACACAAAAATCATTATAGAATAGAATTAAATTTGAAACAAGGTCATTTTAGAGCATCCAGGAGTTACTAAAATATTATGATATATACACTGGTCTCAAAATAGTAACTCCAAAGGTAGAACCAGAGAGTTTCATTTCCTAATAAATGTAATAATTATACATTTTTTACCTTTTAAATATTAAAAGATAAAAATACACTTACAGATTTAACCAGCAAGGGATAACTGAATCCAGGTGTTTCTCTTTCACCACTGCCAATACTGCTCTTGGATACAGAGGGTTTACACTGCCATCACTGAATAAAATAAGTAATGGTTTCTGAAGCCTAAAGTAAGTGGGAAGGTTTTCCACAGTGATTTCTGGCTGTTAAGAAAAGAACAAGGGGAATGACTATGTATACAACAGAAAAGAATGTTCAAATCACTCTTACAATTTTACTTTTTAAGATATAATTCAAACATTTACCATTTAAGTGATTTGCTATTATTATGACTAATGCCTATAAATTTCAAGACCATTTTTTTCTAATCTCACTTTATCTTAACACAGTTATATTCAAAACAAAACTACTATTAGAATTTGAAAATAAATTAACCTAAAGGAGTATCCTATTTTACAATGCTGAGTTTTAGCGACAAACAAAACTCTTGTTACATTTTTCTCTAACATAAAATTTTTGAAAAAATATAAACTGAGCTTTAAAGGTATAATCTTTTAACATTTATGGTTACTTAAAAAGAAGATCTTATTTTGTTTCAATATTATGGCTTCATAGTATAATTAAAATAATAAAAAAATATACTAAAATAAAAAGCAGTCTCATTTATTTTGGGTTTAAAATAACAAAAGCTTGTAAGATGAAATACACCCTCCTATTCTTTATTAATTAAAAAAGAATATCATTTTATATACTTTTAAAGGACAATGTATCATTAATAAGAATTATCATTAATAATAATTAATGATAAGATGTTCTTATCATTAATAAGAGCATCAAACAATGTTAACATATTTAAGATTATGAATAGCAATGACTGACTTCCATCCAAGATGGAGGTGTAGGTAGACACACTGTGCCTCCTCGCACAACCAAAATAAGAACAACAATTTAGAAAAAAATAACAACTACAACTGACAGAAAATTGAACTGTATGGAAGTCCGACAACCAAGGAGATAAAATAGAAACATTCATCCAGACAGTTAGGAGGGGTGGAGTCAGAGTCAGGCAGAGAGGGGTCGCAGCAAAAAAAGCGATGGCACCAGGCATGCAAGGCAGCAGCTGACAAACCCTGGGCCCACAAGACTGCAGCAGGTGGACCCTGGGGGTGCAGGTGGCAGCTGGCAGACCCTGGGCACAGGGTGGCAATGGGCAGACCCCAGCAACACAGCAATTGTGAAACCAGGCACAGTGCACAAGGAGGCTGGCTGACCCAGTGGTCCCATGTTGGAGAGACTCACAGGGTCCTAGAATGTACACAAACCCACCAACCCAAGAATCAGCACCAGAAAGGCCCAGTTTGTTTGGGAGAAGTGGTGGAAGGGACTGAAATCCTACAGAGAGTGGAGCAAGCACCATTGTTCCCTCTTGGATCCGCCCCCACATACAGCGTCACAACCCAGCAACTGGGTTGCCCCTCCCTGGTGAACACCTAAGACTCTGCCCCCCTCATACATAACAGGCACAACAAAACAATAACAACAAAAATGGCCCAAATGGAAGAATAGATCAAAGCTCCAGAGCAAATACAACTAAGCGATGAAGAGATAGCCACCCTATCAGATGCACAGTTCAAAGCACTGGTGATCAGGATGCTCACAGAATTCGTTGAATTTGGTCATCAATTAGATGAAAAAATGAAGGCTGCACTAAGTGAAATGAAGGAAAATGCACAGGGAACCAATAGCGATGGGAAGAAAACTGGGACTCAAATCAATGGAGTGGACCAAACAGAAGAAAGAAACAACCAAATAGAAGAGAATGAAGAAACAAGAATTCAGAAAAATAAGGAGAGGCTTAAGAACCTCCAGGACGTCTTTAAACGTGCCAACATCTGAATTATAGGGGTACCAGAAAGGGAAGAGGAAGAACAACAAGTGGAAAACTTATTTGAACAAATAATTAAGGAGATCTTCCCCAATCTGGCAAAGGAAATAGACATCCAGGAAGTCCAGGAAGCTCAGAGAGTCCCAAAGAAGTTGGACCCAAGGAGGAATACACCAAGGCACATTATAATTACATTAGCCAAGATTAAAATGAAAGAGAGAATCCTAGAAGCAGCAAGAGATAAGAAGACAGTCACCTACAAAGGAGTTCCCATCAGACTGTCAGCTGATTTCTTAAAAGAGACCTACAGACAAGAAGGGGCTGGAAAGAAGTATTCCAAGTCATGAAATCTAAAGACCTACAACCAAGATTGCTCTATCCAGCAAAGATTTCATTTAGAATGAAAGTGCTTCTCAGATAAGGTCAAATTCAAGGAGTTCATCATCACCAAGCCCTTATTATATGAAATGTTAAAAGGACTTACCTAAGAAAAACAAGATAAAAAGGAAAAAAAGAAAAACAAGATAAAAAGCATGTATAGTAAAATGACAGCAAACTCACAATTATTAACAAAACAAAAACATAAACAAACTAAGCAAACAACTAGAACAGGAACAGAACCACAGAAATGGAGACCACATGGAGGGTTAGCAACAGAGGAGTGGGAGGAGGGGGGGAGTTACAGAGAATAAGTAGCATAGACGGTAAGTAGAAAATAGACAGGGGGAGGGCAAGAATAGTATGGAAAATGTAGAAGCTAAAGAACTTAAGACACATGGACATGAACTAAAGGGGGGATGTGGGTGGGAGAGGGTATGCAGGGTGGAGGGAAATGAAGGGGGAGAAGGGGACAACTGTAATAGCATAATTAATAAAATATATTTTAAAAAGAATAGCAATGACTTAAAATATTAACACCTTTACTATTTTTGATATTTAGTTCCACATCTATTATTTTTCATCATCTGGATTCACCTGAACTAGATTAAATCATCCTCTATCAGATAAATAATGACCTGCTGACAAATGAGGAAATCAATGAAGAGAAACTGACTTACTAAAGTCACACAGCTAATAGGAAGAATTGAAACTAGTATCCAGGCACCCTGCTCACCACCTGCACATTTCATCTAATCACATTAGAAATCCAAATGAACAATTTTATTTTTTTCATGGTTGAACCACTTCTGAATGCAGTAATGGTTCATTATCCTCAAACATCAAAATCTGGCATATACTTTTCCCTATTATGTTTTCAAAGGTACTTTCCTTTGCCAATTCTCTTTTTTCTTCAAATTCTTTCCCTTTCACACTCAAAATCCTTTTGCACACCTTCTCCTTCCATGACCTTCATCTTAGATCCCTTCTTCTCCAAAGTCCCCTATGCTGTCTTTGTGTCAACTATCATCTTTAATCTTCTACATGAGTTATATGCCCTTCCTAAAACTGACAGATTTTATTAAGCTAGCAAGCCTCACAATGAACAGATTTAAACATCAGGTCAGATGAAGCCACCACTGTTCAATTCAAACATTTATTGAGAACAAAGTTCAAGATACTATGCTGGGTACTGAATAAAAAAGAAACCAGGCACTTTCCCTGCACCCAGCAAATGTAGCTGTCAGACCAGATGGGAGAATGACTGTATAGGTATGCTAGTGTTAGAGTCGAGGAGGAAATAAGTTGTTTGTGCTAAGCTGTTTGCTCAACCCAAGACTGCTTGCTCAAGCCTGAGTAGAAACCGCACCCACCCCCAGGCAGGTGTTCCAGAGAGTTAGGAATTGGTCAAAACGTATAGAGGGCTTCCATGTGTCAGGAGTTGTTAAGTGCTTCACACCTGAGCTCGTTTAGCCTATCGCTAACTGCCACCTTTGCTTCTGGAAACCCGCTTGCTTGCCCGCTTCTATAAAAACCTTAGCCTGTAAGTGTTAGGTGCGACTCTCATTTGCAGCCATTTTGGCACTGTGTCTCCGGACACCCCGAGAGTTCGCCCCTGCGCAGGTAAAACTTTGAAACTTTGGCCAATACAACATCTTTGACTGTCCGACCGTCTCCGACCCTTCTTGCTTGTGAAAGCGGAATGTAACACTAGCTTCTGGGAATACTTAGAAGATTTTATATCAAATGAGTAAAATGGTTAGGCTTGTTTTAGAAGGATGAGCGACTCGAATAGGAATGTATGGGAGACAGACCAGTGACGGGCTCTGCTATTTTCTATGTCTGTCAGGAAAGAAAAACAGTTCTGTGAGTTTAGAAGTTAAGGTTATAAACTCAGATTTAGGAATCATCAGCTGGCATAAGATGGTAGAATTTAACTGTATAAATAAATTTTCCCAAAGAATGAACACAGCAAAGAAGAAGGAAAGGTTGAGGATGTACTTCGGGAGTGGCCAGAGGATTGAAGGAGTATCTGGGGAGGACTGAATTATAGAAGCCAGAGGAAAAGAGAATTTTTTAAATAGCATAGTTAACAGTTTTGTATTTTTTTCCATCCCTCTCTACCCTTCCCATTGCTCTTTTTTTTTTCACAGTTAACAGTTTTGATTGCTGAGGAGCTAAGGAGAAACAGAAAAGGTCATCAAATGTGGTAACTGGAAGGTAACCTTTAGCTCTTTGAGTATATAAGAGGCTATATTTGTATGGGTTCCAGTATTCTTTTTTTAAATATATTTTATTGATTATGCTATTACAGTTGTCCCAATTTTTCCCCCTTTACCCCTCTCAACCTGGCACTCCTCATTCCCTCTGGCAATTGCCTCCTTAGTTCATGTCCATGGGTCTTGCATATAAGTTCTTTGGCTATTCCATTTCCTATGCTTTTCTCAATATGCCCCTGTCTATTCTACACCTACAAATTTGTACTTCTTAATCCCCGCACCTTTCTCCCATTCTCCTCTTTCTTCCTCCAAACTAATAACCCCCCAAATGGTCTCCATATCTATGATTCTGTTTCTGTTCTGGTTGTTCGCTTAGTTTTCTTGGATTCCATTGTTGATAGTTGTGAATACACTGCCATTGTAATGTTCATAGTTTTGATCTTCTTTTTCTTAAATAAGTCCCTTTAACATTTCATATAAAAATGGGTTGGTGATGATGAACTCCTTTAGCTTTAACTAGTCTGGGAAGCACTTTATCTGCCCTTAAGTTCTAAATGATAACTTTGCTGGGTAGAGCAATCTTGGGTATAGATGCCTGCTTTTCACAACTTTGAATATTTCTTGCCAATCCCTTCTTGCCAGCAAAGTTTCTTTTTGAGAAATCAGCTGACAGTCTCATGGGAACTCCCCTGTAGGTAACTGTTTTTTTCTTGCTGCTTTTAAGATTCTCTCTTTATCTTTAACCTTTGGCATTTTAATTATGATCTGTCTTAGAGTGGGGTCTCTTTGCATCCATCTTGTTTGGGTCACTCTCTGTGCTTCCTGCACTTGTATGTCTTTTTTCCTTCACCAAATTTTTGGGAAGTTTTCTTTATTTTTTCAAATAAGTTTTCAAATTATTGCTCTTTCTCTTCCACTTCTGTCACCCCTATGATTCAAATGCTGGTACATCTGAAGTTGTCCCAGAGGCTCCTTAGCCTATCCTCATTTTTTGTATTCTTTTTTCTTCTTGCTGTTCTGATTAAATGGGTTTTTTTTCATCCTTACATTCCAAATCATTGGTTTGATTCTCGACTTTATGCACTCCACTGTTGGTACTGTAAATTTTTATTTCACTTAGTGTAACCTTCACTTCTGCCTAGGTCTTTGTTATGCTGTTTAAGTACACACGGAGGTCCTTGAGCATCCTAATAACCAGTGTTTTGAACTCTGCATCTGATGGATTGCTTATCTCCTTTTTGTTTAGTTCTTTTTCTGAAATTTTGTTTTGTTCCTTCATTTGGGCCATATGTCTTTGTCTCCTCATTTTGATAGCCTCCCTTGTCTGTTTCTACATATTAGGTAGGACTGCTTTGACTCCCTGTCTCAGTAGCATGGCCTGTTGTAAAAAGAGCACCATTAAGTTGGATGGGGTAGAGCCTTGGGTAATTGCCTAGGTGGGGCCACCTGTGAGAACCAGGTTCTTGGAGTCTCCAGAATGGTGTTACCACTCTGTGGCTCTTTATGGGAGGGCTCAGAAAATGAACAATGGTCACTGCCTGGCCTCTGGAGTTTTGTCTGTGAGGAATCTATCCCCTGACGCTTACCCCAATGCCAGACACTTTAGTTTCTCCCCATATGCCACTGGCACCCTTCCTGCTGCTGCCCAGTGCTGGAGCCCAGAGGGAGTGAGTCTGCCTAAGTCCCAAGTCCATTGAAGGCCCTTTAAGAGGAGAAACCTGAGAATCCTACAGTTTCTCCCACCCCCAACCCCCACTGGTTTTTACTACCAGATATTATGGGGACTTATCTTCCTGGTATTGTAACCCTATTATTTTAACCCTAGGCTAGGCGGTCTGGTATGGGGCTGGATCCCTCGTTCCTGAGGTATCCCTCCCGATTTTTATCCACCACATGTAGGTGTGGGACCTCATGTTCTGCATCTCCGCCCCTCCTACCTGTCCAGATGAATGTGACTTCTTTAATTCCTTAGTTGTTGGGCTTCCATACAGCTTGATTTTTTGATGATTCTGGGTGATAGCTGTTTTGTAGTTAAGTTGTAATTTTTTTTTTACTGTGGTTGTGTGAGGAGATGAGCTGTGTTAATCTATGCCTCCATCTTGACTGGAAGTCTGTGGTATTCTTATTCGTAGTAAAAGCATACACAGGAACTTCATGTATTGGAGATATGTACCATACACATTTCCTAACAACTAGTTCTAAGTGTGACAGCCTGGAATACATAACTACTTATATCATTATGGTGTATTTTATTTGGGGGCATTATTTATTTGAGTTAATTTTCAACAGGTTCACTAAAATAAAAATTTGCTGCCATATAAAAATATTTACCCTCTGGTCACCCACTCTTTTTTATCCAGATGAAGGAACCAGAGTTTTTCTAGTACCTTAATGCAGGCCAAAAGATGAGCTTACTTCTTACTAGCTATTTGCAGTCACTACATGCTTCAGACTTAAACCTCCAATACAGAGAAACTTTAGGAAATTTAATAACCACTTGAGGGCTTTTCAATTCATGGAAAGGTCATAAACTAAAAGCAAAATAATTTTTATTATAGCTTTTCAAGTATTTAGTAGAACACTACAAACCAAAACGTTGTACTGAAACACAGCCACATTGCTTATCATGTTTGCCTAAACTATAAACAGATTTTGATAGTTAAGTTTGCCCTAAGTTTCTCAGCCTTAATGATTATAATCTTAAAGAAAAAAAGATACTCATTTTTATCTATCAGTTAGGAAAAAAGAGCAAAATGACATGAATCTTCTGTTGGGCAAAACAGTAATAAGTATCAGAAGCCTTAAAAAATGTGCCTATCCTTTGTAATAGCAATTAAAATTCTATGAATTCACCATAAGTATGTAATCATGGAAACACCTAAACGTTATCTTCAAGGAAGATCCCTGAGTAAAACAACAAAGACAACTTAAATATTCCTCGAGAGAAAACTAATTAAATAAATTGTTTTTTAATATGACAGATTATTAAAAAAACAATATGCCTGCCCTGTCTGGTGTGGCTCAGTGGATTGAGTGCCAGCCTACAAAGTGAAAGGTCACCAGTTCAATTCCCAGTCAGGGCACATGGCTGGGTTGCAGGCCAGGTCCCCAGTTGGGGGCATGTGAGAGGCAACCAATTAATGTATCATTCATACATTGATCTTCCTCTCCTTCTCTTTCTCTTCCCCTCTCTCTAAAAATAAATAAATAAAATCTTTAAAAGTATTTAAAAAATTAAAAAACAATATGCCTATCTTTACTTCTTTATGAAAATACCCTTTAATATATAGAAAGACAAACATATATACACACACACTTGTGCACAGGTGTAATTTTTTAAAGTTTGGGATAATATAGCCCCAAATTTAAACTTGGTTAAAGAAGTTGATTCTAATTTTCTTCTTTATAGTTTTTTATATTATCTGGAAAATATAGTTAAAGGCTTATAGTAATCCCAATAATATTATATGATATATTTGCTAAAGAAATATTTAGTAACATGTTACTAAACACAAAACTGTAACTTTAGTAAATAATTTAGAAAACTACATCTTGATAATTAGTAATTTAATTAATTATAGCCTTTAACTTTAATTGGAGGAGAGCAGTGAGGAACAGAACTGTGACAAAAAGATTTAATAATTAAAACTACAGTAACTTATTTGAACCTAAAATGTAATGTCATTTAGATCATCATGACAACTAAAAAACAAGATATTTGTTCAGTATTCATATCTGATAGAAGTGTGCCTTATGTTAATTTATAATTGGAGAAAAGCATAAACTTATAATAGTCTAGTTACATTTAATATAAATACAAAACAAGTGAAATCAAGAAATGCAGATTACATCTTGCGCCCCTGAATCCACTATTATACAAAGCACTGAAAAAGGCCTTTTTTCATAAATCAGTGTTTTGATCTAAAACTGAATACGTAATAAAAACATTAGCTGAATGTTTACCAGGGTCCAAACACTGCACCAAATCTCATTTCTTACAATAACACTCTGCAGAGCTACTATCACCTAAATTTTACATATGTGAAAAATGAGACAGCAAGAAGTTAACATACTGCTGGTGAGGAATCAAGCAGGGATCTGAAGTTGAGCAGACTGACTCCATGTGCTTTACACCAAGTTTTAACCTAGATTAAGTATTTCAACTGGCCATCAGCCACGCTAGTCTCAGCAATAAAAATAATCCAGAGACATGTAAACTTTTGGCAGTAGACTAGAGAAGCTTTATGCATAATGACTAAATAAGAAAACAGAGCAACCCAATGAATCTTCAGCTCCCAAACACCATGCCCTATGCCAACAAAAGCTGGAAAATCACAGATTAAAGTAAACTACCTTTAACTGATTTAGATATCCTTATTTCAAATAACATCCTTATTATAAAATATACTCACAAATGTTTCCAGTAATGCATTTGTTATTATCTGAGCCATTTCTTGCGTGTGGATGTTAGCTAATGGAATGCTCTCTACTTTGCCTTCTTTATGTCTGGCAAGCAGCAGGGCTGGAAGAGTTGCAGTATATTTATTTGACCTATGGAGAAATATGTATTCAAAAATTTCAACTAAACTATAGCAAATCATCAAAAACATAAACAATGAGGCCAAGAGGCCACATGAAAGGCAGCAAATGGGAAGCCATATATTATTAAGGAAAAAATGAACTCAATTTACATACAAATCTATCTTCTGTAGCCTTGACAACCTACATTAAAAGAAAAGATAATAATCTACCCAGATTTTTTTTCTAGACAATTTACTCACCAAGATAATGTCTAAATAGGATTAGGTACACATTGAATAGTTCTCAGCTTTCTGAACTATTCTCCATATGCTGAACAAGGAGGTGGGCATTTATTAGAAACCTCCTATTTGTAGGCACTATGCCAAGTGCTTTTAGTTATATTTTCATTTAACCCTAAGAACAGCCCTATAAAGTAGCCACTATCACCTCCATCTTACAGAAGAGGAAACCAGGACTCAGAGAGTGATAAATAGCTGAGAGAGAATTCAAACTGAGGTACTCCAGGTACAGTCTGTGCTTTCTCCATTGAAACAGAGCTCAAACCTGCTCCCTCCTGCCACTACTTTTGCTAACTAAACTTAAAAGAAAAATCACTAAATTAAACAGGTACAAATGCTTTGTGTGAAATTACCAGTGATATAGTCACATACATACTGTGTAAAAACTTAATTCATGTTAAAACAAAAGTATAGACATTGTAGCACTCTGAGCACTGGTAGAGAGGCCTGTCTTCACATCACCTGCAAAACCCTCGTGTTTGACCAGTGGCTTATAAACAAAACATACCCTGAAAATGACTCGTCTTGCTTTTTGGACCATAGTTAAATGCACAAAGAAAGCAGAGAAGACCATGGGTGACTGTGTGTGTGTCAGGTGAGCAGGTCTCATATTTCCTAAAGACCTCGAGTTCAGCACTGTTTTTAAAAATCTTATTTTCAGAGTTTTCAATTTATTTTTTTTAAAGATTTTTTATTTATTTCTCTTTAGAGGGGAAGGGAAGGAGGGAGGGAGAGAAATATCAATGTATGGTTGCCTCTCCTGCATCCCCTGCTGGGAACTGGCCTGCAACCCAAGCATGTGCCCTGACTGGGAATCAATTGAACCGCAATCCTTTGGTTTGCAGGCCCGCACTCAATCCACTGAGCTACACCAGCCAGGTGGAGTTCAGCACTTTCAAAAAATTACTGATTTCATGGATAGAACAGGAGCTTGATCATCAGGAGCATATGCCACCAGTGTTCAGCATAAAAAATTTTAAGTTCGGAAATCACTATTAGAAATATTACAGTCAGAAGTTAAGAAAGATAAACCACTGGGCTTAACAACTTCACTTGCACCTGAAAATGAGCCATTATGCAGAATGTGATAACCCCTGAATTTTCAGTTCAGTACTTCATCCTGCAGCAGATGATATATTTGGTAGTTCACAGGAACCCCAAATTCTACAAATGGCTTTAAAAAGCCACTATTAGAGTATGTTAACAGTAATTTTAAATTAGGTAGAACTATCAGGTATAGCTGCATCAATTAAAACTGAAAGAAATCTGGAAAAACTTTGATGTTTATAAATATCTCGGGGGCAAATCAAAACCCAGACACCCAGGAAGTAAAATCCTCCCCCTACAAAATATGACAACTCCAAAGAATCAAAACTGCAGGTAATTGAACCCAAAGAGAAAAGTTTTTTATAGGAAGATGAAATAATATGAATCCAAGGCTGCCCCTTTGGGGGAGCTAGCCTGAAGTAAAAGAATATCTAAGAATTCTAACTAGCCAGGTGGTCCTTCCCATATCTTCCTAGAAGAAAATTAAAAACTGATGTGTTGCTGCCCTATCTTCTTTGTCAACTGTGTAAAGACAAGCAATGTATAATTTTGCAAGCTTCTTCCTCCCTAAAGTTAGAACACCAATAAACTTACAGTATCGAAACATCTTCTTCAGAATAAATTCCAGTGGTAACATATCCTTTAAGCAATTTTCCTGCTTCAGTGAAATGTTCTTTTGCTAAAAATACACAGATGAGACAAAAAATAAAATCTTCAAAATTATGTGTGCTATTCAACTGATGAACAGATTTATAAATGACAGTGATTTGTTATTCATTAATTATGAAGATAAATATTTGAATGCGGATCCTTATATAACTTAGTAGTTCTAAAATAAATTTGTACTGTTTTTATGACATTTGATTATAGAAATGTAAACTGATGCAATGCAACTATGGTTCTCTAAAATAATGTACTCTAAATTTATAAGATCTATAGCATTCTAATCATACAGATTTACTGGATAAATATTTTTTGCTTTTTTCAATATATTCCTAAGGCAGAATAAATGGAGACAGCTACCCTGTACATAGCCTGAAACAGAAGCAAATATGTGAAACAATACACACATTATAATCACACAATCTAAAAGAACCTATTTGCATAGGCAATAATAGGAGACTGGAAACTGCAGTTCTTTTAACAGAATCTATGTTAGAGTTCTGCAATTGGGGGGATTTGTGTCTTTTTTTATTTCCTGTATTTTCTGTAATCTTTGTTATTTTTAAACCTTGATTAACTTGTTTTTTCTTATTTGTTAGGCTACAGATATTCAAAATTAAAGCTATTATGTCTATACATTTCTCAATACATTTTCATAAATAACAGCATATTTTGGATCATGTTAATGATAACCAAGAAGCAAGTCTGAATTAAAAAGTTGTAAACTAATGAGAAACTAAAGTTGTAAACCAAAGAGCAGAGGTGGACTTATATAAGTGACATATTCTTTCCAAATGGAGGCCAAATGATAGCTCAGCCTGCTACTATCATTTGGTTCAGAGTAGTTCAAACAAAACAACAATGAAAGATCTGAGTCATAAAGCACCTAGCAAGTTGGGCATACTGAACTCAAAAGATCTGTACCTTAGCATACAACACTATATTCAGGATGTAAGCACCAACACTGTTAACATCAGTTAACCACAAAATCATTTTCTTTAAAAAAGGATGCATACTTTCCACAAGATTTAGAAACACTGTCCTGTAGGAAAGCAAAGTTACTAGAGCAGCAGTCAGCCAATAGGCAGCATTGAGAGCTCACTTACAATCACAATTTTAACAAGGAACCAATAATCTATTAAAATATTTTCTTCAGCCTGTACTACACCAAGTAGAAAAGCTTCATAAGAAAACTAAGCAACCAGAAAGGACTGAGTGACTATACTGTTATTCTAAGAGAAAACAAGAATGAATTCTGGTCATTAATTGATTGTTACCTAAAGCAATGATATAACGGAACTGTTTCAGTTTCCTCTTTTCTCTTTTGAAAAGTAACACTGGGAAATTATACTAATGTTCCCACGTAATTTCCACAACAGAAGCCTCTCTGCTCATGAATATGTTTCTTGAAAGGTTCTTTATGAATTCATTTCCTCACAAATCTTAAGTTTCTTGTTTATTGGAGCAATTAAGAATATAGACCTCAGCTATATATCCATTTCCACAAGTCAGAGTGTAAACTTTCCTCTGAATGTTTAAAACCAGACATATTCTCCTCCCTGGTGAAACTGCGTATATGTCAGAGTATATGGCAACTCCAAATATAAGGAAGTAATTAGTTATCTAAATAAAACATTTTAACTACTATAAATATATTTGAGATGTAATGTTGTGGTGACCTACAATATTTACTTGTTTAACTGTAAACGCATTTTAATTGCATAAAATAAATAATTTAGCAATACAGCTTTTTCCCACTGTTACACTTTACTGACTAGTTATATTTATACACACACACACGCACACACATATTTTAACTCTGTCAGCAAGATTTGAGAACACTCCAGTAAGTAAAAGCACTCCTGACTCCTAGATTTTTATTTCTAAATTCAATGTTCCTCTAACAAGAACCTGTACTCCTTGGAGAAATGGCTGATTCCAGAAATGGGGCTGGGAACATATTGTGCCAAAAGGACATATTCAAAACACAATGGAGACATGCCAGAAAGACATGATTCAGATTGAAGGGGCTCCTACTGACCAAATTCAAGCAAACTAATGATAGTAAATTATTATAAACCACTGAATAAAATAACTCAGGTGTCCACACTGATAAATGAGAAAGGAAAGCTCTTTCATCAAATAAATGTAAAAAGAATAATGGAGTTAGAAATTTTCCACTTGGGAACAATCACAGTAATAGCACTTTCAATCCTAAAACTGAAGTGCAAAATTATCATGAAAAATAGGGCATTTACAGAGTTTTAAGTTATATCCCCATAATAAGATACTTATTATTTGCAAAGGAAAAAAATAGCAACCTTCCAGTAAAAGGACCTGGCAAGAGAGAAATTTCACCCTCATGGAATTCACATCATTTTAGTCTTCAAATCATTAGAATCTATATAAACAACAAATTAATATATGATACAAAATTAGTGCTCAGAAAATGTCAGTAGTTAATTTCTGTAAGTTAAAAAGAAGAAGAAAAGGAATGAATACCTGACTGATAAGACTGGAAATAATCAATCCAGTGAAATAATAACAAAGTTATCACATCCAGATCACATCATTCTGGCAAAACAGAACTACCTGTATATAATTTAACAATATACTTTTGATTTTTTTGAGATATAATTACATATAAATTATCATCGTCATTTGTATAGAAACGCAATCAAGTACACAGTTCCTTACAGTGATCTTGTGTGTGTGTGTGTGTAAATGAAAAATTCCTCTCAGCATTTACAATCAAGAAAAAGTTTTCTCTATGGATGAGTCAACTTCCTAACTTGAGAAAATGGCAAAAATTTCACCTTACTGTTTCTGCTACCAGATTGTTGAGGGTTAAGTTTTATGATCAACTTCAGTGTTTTCTTAGATGTTCTACACAATTATCCCCTATACTTTTACTGCTTAACTCTTATGCTTTTAATGATTTTATTGTATTTGTGCTTTTTTTATCTGAAGACTCTTTTTTGGAAGGAGGCCCAATGGAAGTAATAAATGAGGACTTCAGGGCACCAGGCACCTGAGGTAGGCAAGAGACAAAGTCAACAGTGGGGGCAAGTGGGGGCAAAAACATTAGAAAGGGAAAAACAAAGAAATAAAACACAGACTCATTCACTCCACAATTCTTCATAAAGAAAACACAAACTATAAAGCTATGCCCTCTACGATTTTGCTTTCAACATGGTAAGCCACAACACACACGTTAACATTCTTATCCTTTCTTTGTCGTAAGTTCTTTTGGCTTTTAATTTAAAACAATTTGAAGTCAAACTGGAGGGGAATAAGTAAGTACTAGACAGATGTGGACAAAGCAAAATTTAGTAAGTAATTAATAGTATCATATACAAATATAATGCTAAACATGGGAATCATCTTCCCATACAAATATCCTTAAAAGACTTCATTCAGAATTTGAAATATATTTTAAATGAAAGAGACGTAAGAAGGGGGAAGACTCACTAAATAAATGGTAAATGTATGTGAGGAAAACACTAAGGCTAAGCATTTCGTGGCCCAGTCAAGAGGCCATCCATACGCAAAGACAAGGGAATAATGTTCTAAGCAGTACTATGTATGGGTCAGAAAAAATTCCCTATGTGTATGTACCCTTTCTTTTAAAGTTACCGAAAAGCCCTGGACAAATAGCTCAGTTAGAGCGTCATCCCCATACGCCAAGGTTGCAAGCTTGATCCCCAGTGAGGACACAAACAAGAATCAACCAACGAGCGCAGAAATAAGTGGAACAGCAGACTGATGTTTCTGTTTCTGTTCTCACTCCCTCCCTTCCTCTCCCTCTCAATAAACAAATAAATAAATAAATAACCCTAACTGGTGTGGCTCAGTTGGAGCTTCGTCCCATAGACTGAAAGGTCATGGGCTTGATTCCTGGTCAGAACACATGCCCAGGTTGCAGGTCTGATCCCGTTAGGGCATGTACAAGAAGGCAACAATCAATGGCAACCAAATAATAACATACTATTATTTTCATTAAAGAGTATGTTGGGGAAAATATTTCTAAAAAGAGTAATACATAAAGAAACAAAAACTCATCAATAATGATGATCTGAGCCTGTAATATGAGCATGGAGGCTGATATAGAGAAAAAGGCCACAGAAGAAATTAAAAGCATCCTCATCTTCTGCAAGAGGGAAAAATCATTGAAATGGTCTTTAATTGTATAGATTCCAATAGGTTTTGTTTGTTTTTTCAAAAAACATCTTTAGCCTTAGGGAACATAAAACCAAAGAAACATATAGCATACAGAAAAATAAAAACTAACTAAAGAAATATCAATGAAGCATATAACAGGCATCCATATTGTAGGTGTAGACAATACATGTAAATGGCTAAAGTTCACCTGAAAGAGTCCATAGGCAAATAATATATATAAAAAGATAAATAAAAGACTTTACCCAATCATATGTTTTAAAACTAAGTTCAACATGTATTATAAAACTAATATTAAGTGTCAATAGGTAAAGTGAACAAAATAGAAAACATGAACAGAGATATATACATACATATAGATGTGGATTTTAATATGGTAATGGGATCACAAAAAGATGGTAGAATCAAAAAACGCAGAAAAAAAGAACAATTGTTAACTATTTAGACAAAAATTAAGTTGGACCCTAACCTCATACCATACATGGAAAGATCTAAACAGTTAAAAACTTTTGGAAAGGAAAACAAAATCAAAAGACACAATCAACATAGTGAAAAGGCAACCTATGAAATAGGAGAAAAATATCTGCAAATCATATGGTAAGGAAATGATAAACAGAATATATGAAGAACTCCTGCAACTCAACAACCACCACCCAATTCAAAACTAGCCATAGGACTTGAATAGACATTTCTCTAAAGAACATATACAAATGGCCAACATGCACATGAAAAGATGCTCAACATTGCTAATCATCACACGGTTAGGGAAATGCTTATCAAAACCACGAGTCATCACCTCAAACACATTAGGATGGCTACTATTAAAAAAAAACAAACAGAAAATAACAAGTGCAGGTGAGCATGTGGAGAAATTAGAACCCTTCTATACTGTTGGTAGGAATGTAAAATGGTATAGCCACTATGGAAAACAGCATGGTAGTTCCTCAAAAAATTAAAAACAGAATTACAATATGTTCCAGAAATTCTACTTATGAATATATGTCCAAAAGAAAGCAGGCTCCTGAAGAGATATTTGTACATCCAGGTTCAGAGCAGCATTATCCATAATACCAAGATGGTGGAAACAACCAAATGTTGTTGTTTGGTTGTTTACAGCAGAATATTGCTGTACATTGCTGAATATTGCTGAAAAATACAGAATATTTTTCAGCCTTTGGAAGGAAAGAAATGCTGACAACACAGATATGCTGACAACATGCTACAACATAGATAAACTTTAAAGACACTATACTCAGTAAAATAAGCCAATCAGAAAAGATAAATATGAAGGGGGACCCAAGAATATCCAGAATTTATTTATAAAAAATTGTGTATTTATTCTTACATGTTTAAACTTCAGTCACCTTAAAAGTACTCTCCATTCGATGCAATACACCTATCAAGATGTTTTTCACACTGCTCAAAACGGTTTTTGCATTCACTGATTCTGATGTCTTTTCATGCTTCTTTCATTTTTTGTTTCACCCCGTCTACATTGGCAAAAACATTTTCCTTTGAGAATGTTTTTTAGTCAAAACTTGCTTGGGTCAATTGGATGAATAGGGAGAGTGGGGTATGAGGGTCACAGCATTTTTGGTCAAAAACTGTTGAGTACTCAGTGCAGTGTGGGCAAACATGCTTGTAAATTACCCATCAAGAAATGGGCAAACACATCAAAAGAGTCTACAAAAAATTCACTGAAGCTGAATGCAGCTTCTCACAACAATGTCAATTGGTACACTGATATAGATGGGTTGCTAAAACACCCACTCAGCAGGAGAAGGCTATATACTATAAGGGCTCACCCTCCAGAAGATAATTCCAGTTTTTTGGGTCCCCCCCTTGTACTGTATGATTCCACTTATATGAGGTTCCTAGAGCAGTCGAATTCATAGAGATAGAAAGTAGAATGGTAGTTGTCAGGGGCTAGCAAAAATGTTGAGTTGTTCAACGGGTATAGTTTCAGTTTTGCAAGATGAAAAAGTTCTAGAGATTGGTTGCACAATGATGTAAATATACTTAACACTAGCTACCTATACACTTAAAAGTGGTTAAGATGATAAATTTTATGTGTATTTCACCATGGTTTTAAAAAAGATATTCAAAGCAAAAACAATATAAATTAGAGTAGGAAAATATAAATAAAGCAAGAAGAAAATACAGGTATTAACTGATAATGATAATAGAGAATTTCTATAACTAAAAACAATGGAAGAAATCTCAAAATAAATAAATTTGAAAACAATTTTAAATTGCTACATGTAAAATTATTAAGCAAAGCCACAAAGCAAACAATTAACTAGGGGAAAAATGACTGAAAAAAATGACAAAAGCTTAATATCCTTAATATGTAAAAATCTCATAGTAATTCATTAGAGAAGCAATAAAACCCCATTTTAAAAAATGAATAACACATACAGTTTATAGGAGACAAAGTTATTCCCTTACTGGGAATCTACACCCATTAAACCATCTAAAATCCTCACAAAATCTCATAAATAAAAATGTTGTTGGGGACTTCCGCCAAGATGGAGGCATAGGTGGATGTGCCGTGCCTTCTCCCACAACCAAGATTAGAGAAAACTAAATATTAGCAACAGAAAACACAGCCAGAACACGGAAAATTGAACTTTTCGGAAGTCCGTTAACAACAAATTCTTCAGCCTGACCGGTAAGGGGCGAAACCAGCGGCTGGCGGAGCAGGGTTGCACAGGAGGACTCGGCCAGACACACTCAGGCCCGCGGAATCCAGACGCAGGGTCAGACCTAGTGAGCGACCCAGCGAGCAACCAGGCCAGCGACCGCGGGGGAGACAGCCGGGCCGGGGCTGCGTGTTGACTGAGGTCACGCATTTGTGCGAGGGTGGACAGGCAAGGAAGTGGGCGGTTGGACCAGGCCGGCAGGTCCCCACGGCAAGCGGCAGTGGAGGGCGCCGCCATTTCCCTGCTCTGACCCCACCTCCACATACAGCGTCATAACCCAGCGACTCTGAGTGGCCCGGCCCAGGTGAACCACCTAAGGCACTGCTCCTCCGCACCCAGCGGTGAGGAGCGGCAGAGGGGATCGCCATTTCCCCGCTCTGGCCACGCCCCCACATACAGCGTCACAACCCAGCAACCTGGGAATCCAAGCCGAGGCTTCTCACACTTAAAGGGCCCGAACAGACCAAGAATGGCGCAGGAGGATCTCAGAGCCCCAGAAATAAATCTAAGCGATGAAGAAATAGCAAAACTCACAGACGCACAGTTTAAAAAATTGGTGATCAGGATCCTCACAGAACTGGTTGATTATACGGACAAATTAGACAAATATATGAAGGTGAAACTCATTGAAATGAATGGAATTGCACAGGACACCAATAGCAATGAAAAGGAAACTGGGACTCAAATCAATGGAGTGGACCAGAAGAAAGCAAATAATGGCCAAACAGAAAAGAGTCAAGAAGCAAGAATTCAAAGAAATGAGGAGAGTCTCAGGAACCTCCAGGACATCTTTAAACGCTCCAACATCCGAATTATAGGGGTACCAGAAGGGGGGAAAGGCACAGCCACCAGTGGAAAACTTATTTGAACAAATAATAAAGGAGAATTTCCCCAATCTGGCAAAGGGAAATAGACTTCCAGGAAATCCAGGAAGCTCAGAGAGTACCAAAAAAGTTGGACCCAAGAAGGAACACACCAAGGCACATCGTAATTACATTAGCCAAGATTAAAATGAAGGAGAGAATCCTAGAAGCAGCAAGAGCTAAGGGGACAGTCACCTACAAAGGAGTCCCCATCACACTGTCAGCGGATTTCTCAAAAGAGACCTTACAGGCAAGAAGGGGCTGGAAAGAGGTATTCCAAGTCATGAAATCCAAAGACCTACAACCAAGATTGCTCTATCCAGCAAAACTTTCATTTAAAATGGAAGGACAGATAAGGTGCTTCTCAGATAAGATCAAATTCAAGGAGTTCATCATCACCAAGCCCTTATTATATGAAATGTTAAAGGGACTTATCTAAGAAAAAGAAGTTAAAGAAACATGAACAGTGAAAGGACAACAAACTCACAGTTATTAACAACCACACCTAAAACGAAAGCAAACTAAAAGGACAGCTAGATCAGGAGTGGAAACATAGAAATGAAGATCTCAAGGAGGGTTAGCAACAGGGGAGTGGGAGGAGGAGAAGGGGGGAGAAGGTACAGAAAATAAGTAGCATAGACAGTAGATAGAAAATAGATGGGGGGGCAAGAATAGCATGGGAAATATAGAATCTAAAGGACTTGAGACACATGGTCATAAACTAAAGGGGGGTGATGGTGGGGATGGGGGGTAGGGTGGAGGGGAATAAAGGGGGAATAGAACAACTGTAACAGCATAATCAATAAAAAAAAGTAAATAGTTAAAAAAAATGTTGTTTTCATACAGCAAAGAGAAAAAAGAAAACAACAAATATTATTGTTAGTAGATAGTTAAATACATTATGGTATATTCAGTCATGTTTCTGAAGAATATTACTTACTTGAAAAAATGTACCCATGTAATTTCAAATAAAAACAGCAAGAATCTAACTTGGATACATATACTAGCCCAATTTCATTAAAACATATGTAAATATGCAATACATAGGCATACAGAGAAAGAGGGAAGAAATTACATTAAAATCTAACAACTCTAATTATAGATCTGTATTTATTCAAATTTCTGTGTTTTCAAAACTCTATAATTTGAGTTCTCTGTCATTTAAAAAGACAGTAATTCTTTTTTAAAAACTAGGAAGTGAGTTTTTAACTATATATTGTATAATTTAAAATTTCAATTCTACTTACCTGTTGTCATGGTTGGACTGAACAGTCCCAGTGCCGACACACTAGAATAGAGAATCAGGTCTTCATATAACCCGCCACTTAAATATTCTTCTGCTTCTCGCACAGAGGTTATGTTCACTGGACATGAAATCCTGTTGCTAGATGAATATATAATTATGTTGAAAATTAATTTTTAAATACTTTTCAGTTTTTAAAATAATAAAAATACTGAATTAGAAAAGACCATATGCCTCAAGATAAACTTCCAACAAAATAATGAAAAACACTACTCTAAACAAGCAAAGAAAGTCACCCTCATTAAACAAAATTTCTATCTCCCCCAAAGTGATGGAATATGGATGAGCTCTATCACAGTTCATCCTGAGATGCCAATTCTAGTATCCTTCTTAACCATTCAAAAGTGTGTCAACAACATATGGTAATTAGAAGTCTTACAGACCTAAACGTTTAAAATCTTAGGGTGAAGCTGAATACTTACAGCTGGATAAATTTTAGGAGCTCTTCAGTTCCTAACATACCACCATAAGATACTGGGTTTTCACCTTCCTTATACATCTTTACAACAGGAAATTCAGTCACATTTTGCTTATTACATATATCAGGCCAATCTGCACAGTTTATTCTAGTAAGCAGCATAGGGGATGCACCTAAGTAGAAGGAAAACACACATTTTATAAATATTAATGTAGAAAACTCAGCTGAGAATTCTCAATATTTTGATATCCCACTGTTTTTTTAACCTCCCAGCAACAGGAAACAGTGCTGTGGAATACTCTCTTTGCTTGACTTTTGCAACACCTTCCCCTCCTGGCTTTCCCCACCCCTCTCCTGCTGCTCCTTTTTGTTCCTTTGGCAGGTTCTTATGCCAATAGAGGTGGGATTCCTCAAGGATCAGTTTATGCTGCTTTATCTACTTGCTTTATACTCTCATCTTAGACAGTCTTGAAAATCATCACCTATCTAATGAATCTTAAAATTTTTATCTTTGGCCCATGCTCCTCCTGAAAGCTCCAGACCCATGTATTCTTACTGACATAATTATTTCCATTTGAAAGGAAACATCCTCAAACCCAGTACGTCTAAAACTAAATATGGCTTCCTTGCTGGATATACTGATGAACACTGCCATTCTTGCACAACTCAGAAAACAAAGTACCATCTTCCATGCCTCCCCCTTCCTAACTTCCCCACGTCTCATCAGATCAATCTGCTATCCTGCCAATTTTACCACCTACATTTTAAGTATTTATTTTTTCTGTCCATTCCTCTTTACTACCGCTACTCAAGTCATTAATTTTCCTGGATGACAATAGGCTTATAATTAATCTCCCTGAATCCAGTATGTCTACACTGAAACTAAAAGTATCTTTTTAAAAGTCAAATCTGTTTTGTTAACAGCCCACCCAGCCAACTGTTACAGAGGTGGGTCTTTCTCATCCCTTCATGCCTCTGCATGTGTGGCTACTTCAAGAAAGCCTTCTTGGACACACTGATCTACATCAAGTTCCTATGCTCCTATGGAAACATGCTTCTTTCTTTACCTCATTAGGTAATTATATACTCATTTGTGTGTTTATCTGATTAAAGTCTGTTTGTACCAAGAGAGCTTCCTGAGAATAAGGACTGTGTCTATTTCACTCATCACTGATTTTCTAATGTCTAGAGCAGTCCTTGCACATGAAACACCTTAAATATGGGTGTGAATAACTGACACACATGAAACTCATCCAGGGCTTCAGAGATCCATCCTGTCTAAACACTGTGATTTCTTTTCACCCTAAGAAAACACATAGTAGAAACCCAAAGAGAAATTCCCACTTGTTCTATAATAATATATGTAAAGTTCTCCAAAATATGTATATCACCAGGTAAGAAGAGATAAAAAACCAAATAAAACAAGTACCACACAATTCAGCTGTGAAAGGAAACTTTAATATTATATTAGATCAAAGAAGGACTCTTTGTACAATATATCAATTCAGGATAAAACTTAAGCATGTGATTCAAACTATAAATGCAATATTTTGATATTTTTATCACCAAAAGTTTTTAATACTAAAAAATCTCCTTTTATATTTTAAATGATTCTAAATTATATAACATAGATGTGATAACTTATCACTCGATTTAATGCCAGCGATCTGTTTGATAATACAGGCATGGTGTAATCTGTCATATTCACCACTATATTGCTTTGCCTAGTATGATGTTGGTTATATAGTATGTAGACAACAAAAATTTCTGAAATGTACCCTAATGTTTCTTCATGAACAAATTCTAAATTTTACACTAAAATATATTAATACCTGAATATTATATGAGCATACAAAAATAAACCCTTATTCCTTCTAAAATTATATCTGCTAAGTGACTTCTCTACAAAATTCTGTTATCTTTTATTTTCATTATTTAGTCAATAAATATCTAGTGATGGTCGTTAATATAGAGCACCATATTATATACTGATCCTCAAGTACGGGACTATAGTGCTGCTACAAATGCGGTTCTCCTCCTTCAATACGCATCCTCAACAGGTCTACCATGGCTACAAGTATTATTGTCCCTGTAGTCCAAATTGAAAACTTTAATGTTACCTTTAAAACTGAAGAAAGAATACTGATACATACATATCATTAAACATTGTAAGGCTACCTATATTAAGCAACGAAAATGTTTTCTTTCCTATAAAATGGTTTCAATATTTAATCATGTGTCAATTAGAACAGTCTAATATTCTAATATGCCTGGAGTATTATATCCCATATATTTTATCAATGCAGTAATTTCAAATAAGGTTCTTAACTTAAAGGGGAAAAAAAGATTCTCTTAGCTACAGATGCTATGATAGTATAAAAACTTGACATTTGCTGCCACCTTGTGACTGAGTATAAAATAATTTTCATTGTCTTGGATTAAGAAATGAAGTGTACTGGTCAAGTCAATGTGCCCGAAAGTAGGGCAGTATTTACAGGACTAAATGCCCAAAGTACTGTAATATTTTCCTAATTTACAAAGTTACAGTTTTGGCTTCTACACAGACACAAAGCACTATAGCTACCTATATTAATACATTTCTACATTAGCCCCCTAAACTTCCAAAAGTCCATTTATCAGATACCTAATTACTAAAGCAATTGTTACACATTAAGAATGAACTAAATGAAAAAGGAAATCAGTTCTGGGTTGGTAATATGCTGTTTTATTCTACAAACTCATACAACCCAGAGTCCTTGCATTGAAAGGTCAGATAATCTCTTTACTTGGTCATTAATAGAAAAGAAGGTAAGGGAATCTTTTTCCATTGTCTTTTTTAAACTAACCAAATAGGCTAGGGAGATTATTCTATTATTCAGGGCATTATCCAATTACTATTTTACTATGGTTTGTATTTCACCACCCTTCTTTTCCTTTCTTCTAATAATTTTCCAATAAGCCTGATGAACCTGAAAAAAGAAACTTAAATCAAGGATAAATTGAAAGAGAATAATGGGATTTGCTTTAAAAAAAAAGATTAGGAATCAGAGTATCTAAAGACTTAATCACCTCTTCATTTGGGTAATAAAATAATCAAAAGCTGAATCAAATGTGATTAGAAAAATATTAGAGAAATGCTTCAAAAATGATTTTGAAAATCCTTGATGTTTTTATTACTATAGAACATGTTATATTTAGGGTTGACTTTCTGAAATCAATTTCTTGAGTTCACAAAAGTTCCCAATATATAAATAAGTCTGCATCAGTACACATTTTCCACTAAATAAAAGAAAATTTATGAAGCTCTACTATATTTGGTTATTCATTTATTCAACAATTATTAAAAATCAGGTATTTTGCAATGTAAGATAGTGCACTAAGTACAGTAAGCTCAGTATAAGGTGTATTACCTACCCATAATGAACTTACTAAATAATGAAATGACCTGTAAACTAGTGCCCCCCAAAACTAAATAGTGGATTCATTCCTATGGTAGCCAAGAATAAGCCTGTTTAACTATAATAGCTTCTATTTAAAGAAAAGCAACTGAAAAAAATCATATTATAGATATGAAGTATGACACATGAAAATGATGACAAAACATAATCCTGACCCACTCTCCCTCTCCGTGTCCTTCTGTGTGTACCTCTCTCTCACTAACAAACCTTTCTGTATCTTTCTTGGGATGGTAGCATAGGCATTTTGAGTTCAAGTTCACTCCTTGGATTCTTATTTTCCTACCACTGGGTCAGGTTTCACAGAACAGTTAAAATAAAAAGATCCATGAGGAGCCAACTATATAGCTTCAAGAACACTGAGATCCTGTGTCTTTTTGATTAGACTGTAAGACTGGGTCTTATCTGTCAAATGTATATTTAATAACATTTAGCACTTATTTAATACTATTTAATAGTAACTGGCACAGAGTAGGCACTCAATAAATGCTTCCTGAATGACTGAATTCAGCTAGGAAGGTTATGGATTAACTATGTGGCAGCAAGTACTTAATATATGGGCTCTGTACTTTCCACTAAAGACAGTTCCATGAAGACAATCAAAATGAATGCTTCTGAGCATTTTTAAAGATCATGGCTAATTAACCTGACCTTGCAGACAAAAACATAATAACCTGAAATTTTTGCAGTTTTCTTCCTCTTTAGCATGACAGTTTTACAAACGGCTACACCTCAGAATCAGGAAAATGAGCATGCACACCACAGTACAATACCTTTCAATTTTACTGCCAAATCAGTGTAGGAATGCAGAAATGCCATTGATACTGCCTGCCCTGCATTAAAAAAATTCAACAGATATTATAACATGCACATCTCCAAAGCACCCATAGTTTTATATAAGAAACATACAGATTTATGGGGGTTCCCAAAATTGCTATTTATTGTTCTAAACATTTAAGAAGGTTCCAAATGCAACTCATTTTCTGCATTCATATACTGCAAGGAATATAGTTGAATAGCTATTATTTGATGATAAAAGCAATACACTCCCTATAAACCTGTAAGTACTGTTAATATATTAAAATCATTATCTTGAATTACAATAATTTTTCTGAATTAATAAACTGAACATCTAAATTATTAGCCTTCAATTTCTAAGTCAGATATATAATCAGTTTTACAACCCCAGAACCAGCTAGAAGTAAATGTTCCATTATGTGCAGTCTACCTAAGACATCAGAAAGTTATAACATCTTATAACGTGCAATATACAGAATGCAAAAATAAAATTTGCCTACTTTAAATTTCCTAATATGTAATACAGTCTCCCCTGAAGATCCATACTCACAACCAGCATAGAAAAGCACTATGCTGTCAGAAGCCATTACTGTTGCATTAAATGTTTCTTCTGTTAGTTCCAATATGAGTTCCAAAGGTAACTGTCTCTTCCTATCTCTGGAAACACTTTCTGCCACTTCATCATCTTGAATTCCTAAAATGTTTGAAAAGAAATTAATTCATACACAAATGTACAACTAAAATATTTAAGCTCTTTTTGCAGGTATGGAAATTTGATATTTTATTAAAAACCTCTGAATTCACACTATTTTATTAGTTAAAAAGGCATGATGTTTAGAAAACTTTATAGTTCCCTGGCTTCCTATCCTAAATCACTCTGAGATGCCTCCTGACTCAAAAGGCTGTGTTTATTTAGCTTCCACTATACAATAAGCACTGTGATAGACACTAGGAGAAATAGTAAACAAAATGGATATAGTCTGTGACAAGATGGAGCTCTTATCTACAGAAAGGTCAGACAATAAATAACCTGGTTAAATGATATTACTGAATAAATATATATAATTATAAATTGTGATCAGTGTAAGAAGGAAAAAAGACACAATAAAAGATTATAACAAGGAGAGTTAGATTAGGAGACCCAAAGTCTTCCAGGTAGAGAATTAAGAAAAAAATGTGTGAGGCAAGAAGAGTAACTTATGCATATGCAAAGGCTCAGAGACATAAAATTACTTAGCATATACTAGGTATGAAAGGCAGGCAAAATTGATTGAAACAAGGTAAGCTGAAGAAATAAATGGTATGAGAAAATTCTAGGCTAGCAGTGGCTGGATCATAAGAAACCATATGAGCCAAGGATTTTGAATTTTACTCTGTGTGTATCAAGTTATGGTGAATTCTGAATATGTAAAGATGTACCATTAATTTAGACAGACAGACAAACTGACCAACCAACTGATCCATCCATCCATCCATCCACGCATATGGTAAAAAACACATTTTCAATTTATATATATTGTGTTGGAAGTTTGTGTAGATTGCATGCTAACAATGAAGGAGCACCTAACTTGATTACAGAGACAATTAAATTTTCCTAAAAGAACTGACACTAGCTGAATACTAAAAGAAAATAAAACTTAGGTGAGAAAAATTTGAGGACTTCTGGTCAAGATGGCAGCACAGGTAAATGCGGCTCACCTCGCACAACCACATCAAAATTACAACTAAGATATAGAACAACCATCACCCAGAACCATCAGAAATTGAGTTGAATGGAAGTCTAACAACTATGAAGTGAATGAAGCCACATCTGTCCAGACTGGTAGGAGGGGAGGAGATGTGGAAGGGGCTGGTTCCACATCCATATGTGGTGGATAAAAATTCAGGAAGGATATCTTGGGTGCAACGCATCCTTACATCTTTCAACTTGATAAAATGTAATTCAAAATAAATTTCTTCAAGTGTCTTCATAGTCTTGAATATGAATTCATTCCATAAGAAAGATAATTCATTGAAATTTCCCTGACCTAATGGATGCTGGGCAGGAATGGGTGGGGTGAGCATCACAAAACAGATTACCCATATCTGGACCTTCCACGTCATCATCTTCATCTTCTCCTGTTTCCTCAATGTCCATATTATTTTCTACATGAGATATTACTAAATCAACATCATGTAACACCAAAAATTCCACTGGCATTCCCTACAAATAATTAAAAAAAATAACTAAACTATAACAAAGCATTTTAATATAAAAATATTTTATTTGTTGATACTAAAATAAAGTTAAATCATTGAATTACAGTTTTAAACTAAATAAAACAAACAAGAAAGGAAAATTATCACTATGGTCACCATCAAAAGTATCCAAAGCGTACCTTACTTAAACATAGTGTATACACTGCTGAAAAAGATGGCAAAAAAGAGAAAGCGAAAGTCTTGCTTGCCAGACAGGAGGGGGATTGAAGGCTGGTAGTAAAAGGCTGAACTAAAGGATAGCTTGGGGAATACAGTCAATAATATTGTAATAACTATGTACAGTGCCAGGTGGGTACCTGAAATATTGGGGGGAACACTTTATAAAAGACATGATTGTCTAACCACTATGCTGTACACCTGAAACTAATGCAAAATAATATTGAATGTAAACTGTAATTAAAAAATAAAATTTAATAAAAGACTGTCTCGCTTGCTTCTTTTCACAATTATACTGGGTCTGAAACATTTCACACATACCAGTAAATTCTACTTCAATAAAAATGGTAATTTTTACCATATAAAATGGTAATCTAGACACTTTAATTGCAAACAGACCCAATCAAAATTATTTGAATACTACATAGATGCAATGACTATTATGACTATTCCAAAATGAGAAAACTGAGCTTAAAAAAGTTGATTCATTTATCTGGTCCCAGAACTAAAAGAAACAAAATCCAAGTCTTTTCCCTAGTATTTCTGCCATACACATAGGCAAAAGAACTTAAGTTTAAATTATCTGGTAGTTTATAAATGTATCAATCAATATTTTAGCATATGTATATAATATTTAGATTTTCAGAGTTAAACAGTTCTTTATAACTATGAAATTTTTTTAAGATTTAAGAAAAAAACACATCAATAGAAATGTACAAATTAAAAATAAATGGCCAATAAACCTTCTAAAGTTCAGTCTCACTAATAATCAAACACATGCAAATTAAAAACAAGAACTTTCTTTGCCTATTAAAACACATTTTTTTTTAGATTAATGCTCAGTATTGGCAAAGATGTATGAGAAACAAGGAATCCCAAACCCTTTCAGTAAAAGTACAACTCTTGTGGAGGGCAATTTGATAATGTATTTTAAAACCCTTAAAAATTTCACTTCTAAATATTTAGCCAAAGGAAGAAATCCATGATGTTCAAAACAGTATACAAAGGCAGGCATCATAGCACAATAATCACTGAATTTATATACATATTCACATATTACATATGAATATGCATATGAATATGGGAAAAGAGACAAAAGAAAAACAACCAAAATGTTAACAGCAATTGTGTTTGAATAGTGACAATTTATAGAATTTTTCTATAATAAGTATATATTACTGTATGGCCCCATGTATTAACTTTCTTTAAGTAATCAGACACTGTAGACCAATACATGAAATGACTAACCTCTTCTCTTTTGAGGACCACATTAGCTTGCTGAGGAATGTCCACTTCCAAAGAGTCCCTTTTCCAAAATGGAAATAAAAGTTTTATGTTGCTAATATGAAGGACAATAGTTATCCAGGATGTAAATCTAAAAAACAACTGTTAAGTTCTCATATTAAAAAACAAAAAAGTTTACGAAAAAAGATTAAAATTTTGTGAGTCAGAAATTTTACACATAAATACAGGCCAATTTTCTGGTCTCTACCTTCATTTAGAAAAATTTGAAGGTCTAAATTTTAAACAAGCTAAAAATATAGACTTTAGCTCAGCAACTTGTTCTGTTACATTTGAGTTTATTTCCAAGTGAACATATTACCACATTTAAATACAAGAAAAATATTAGTTTTACTAAATGTAGTGAATATTTCATGTTTAAGATACCTTAACAAGAGCAGAACTCCTGCTTTTCCCAGAAGACGCCAAGCCACCCATTCTGCGGTTCTTCTATCAGCTTCATAGGTAGCTTGTTGACTGACAATAAAAACCAGTGGTAATCCTAGCTGTAGATGAACAGTTGAAACTCGTTGAGGATCTTCGGCAACTTCAGTCTTCATTTGTAAAAAGAACAAAATGTGATCATACTATTCCAACATTTGGATTTAAACCCTGCTAATTCTTACTTAGTCATGAGTGTAAGTACAAGTCTGTGAAATAAATCCAGCATTACCAGAAATGGCCTCATGACTTCTAAGTTTAATGCTGCCAGTGTACCTACACAGTTTAAGAACTGTAAAACTAACAAATTTTATTAGGCATTAAACATAAAATTATAACCATAAGGAATAAGCATATTATAAAGAAAAAAATCAATCAATAAAAGTGGGGTACTGATAAAGAGATAGATTTTCAAAATAAATAGAACAGATAACTAAGAAATACATTCTTTCATGTTAGAATTTAACATATAATGACACGCTACAGAACAATGAGGAACATCGGAGTTAAGACAGAGGCTTGAACACACATCTAATTTTACTGTCTCCAGAAATCCCAGGAAAATTACAGCAGTAGGATTTTTTAGAAGACATACACCTACATATGTAAAGAAATGAAAACAGAAAAGGCAGCAAAATTTTTGATGCTGGAAAACATTTGTAGTCAGGATAACGGACTACCAAACAAAACGCTAAGCCACAAATGAAAGCTAAGAAACAATTCGATTTGAACTGCGGAAGAAATCCTAAAATTGCTCAGGAACTGTCAGTGCCTGGGATCTCTGGAACTGGAAAAGAAATAATGGAGGAGGAATGGCAGAAAGTCTTTTTTTAAAGGAGGAATAAGTAAAGGTTTTGGAGGAGCAGTTATACCCCTAGATTCCCCTCCCCAACTTCATAAGCATAGCCAACTGTCTCCCTCATACCAGGAGAAATCTGGGGGACTTCAGAAACAACCTGACAGTGTGAACAGCATGCCAAAAGCAGGGGAATTAAGTAATCAAATGCTGAGTTGCTCCCCAACCCCCTTCCCACTCAGTTCCAAGAATGCTAGCAGCCAGACTTCTGTCTTCCAGCAGAAGACTGGAAGATATTTTTCTGAGGCTCTTGAGGAACCCTGAGTCCACTATTCTGTGTTTCTTGGACTGCCCAACCTTTCTAGTCGGACACCAAGGTGAAGATTTTCAGCTTGGCTCTCCAAATGGGCACTGATTTCAAAATTACAATTACATAATTCCTACTAAGTATAACAAAGTGAAATAAAATCGGAGAATCTCCCTCTTCATTACCTACCTAAAATAAAAGTTGTTTTTTAAAACAGCAAGAGAAAAAATTATGAACAGAAATTTTAGGAAAGGGGCACAACTTCAAGTCATAATGTTGTAGCCAAAGAAGAAAACAGATTTTTAGTAAAGCTAGGGCTGAGTCCTAATCCTGCCCCAAGAGCAAAAACAGTATTGACAAGTAGACAAAAATCCTGAGAATACTTAGTATCTTAATATTGGAAGAAAAGGAAATGAGGCTGGAGAGAAATTGTGAAGAACTGATAGCTCTCTTTCAGGGCTCTATGCTCAAATGGGAGAGCAAAACAAATTCACAGGGTATTCTCCCCATTGAAATGAGATAAATGTTCCTTCTTCATCTGAAGGGAAAAGAAATATACCACTTTAAAAAAAAAAAAACTGTTTGAAGCCAAAGTCAAACCAAACCAAAAACTGACTCAAAGAACTCAGGAATGAGGCCACTAAAGTTGGGGGTGGGGAGTTCTGAATCTGTTTAAATGTAGAAGTGATAATTTTTTTTAAATTTTTATTTATTTTGGAGAGAGGGAAAGGGAGGGAGAAAAAGAGGGAGAGAAACATCAGTGTGTGGTTGCCTCTCACCTGGCCCCTACTGGGGACCTGGCCTGCAACCCAGGCATGTGCCCTGACTGGGAATTGGACTGGTGATCCTTTGGTTCACAGTCCATGCTCAATTCACTGAGCTATACCAGTCAGGGCAGAAGCAATAATTTTTTAAATGTGAGAATTGTTATTACAAAACACAATATAAATATCATAATCCTTAATAATGTAAAAATTAAAAAACTAACAATAATCATCAACAGGGTAAGACAATCTGGGATGCAAATAAATGAATGAAGTTAATTTTCTCATCTTTACAGCAAAGGGTGAGTCAATCCTATCTCAAATGAAAACATAGTTTTTAAAACAATGATTTAATTTCCTAATGTTTTTCATAATCTTTTATAACAGGACAATATTTCCTGAGGCCTCTAATGAAGACATGATTTATCAAAAGTTTCATAATCTCCCTAGTTTCATATAAATTTCTTTTTTAAATTTCTTTTTCTTCTATTAAATTCAAATAAGATTAAATATAACACTTCTTACCATAAAGTAGCATATGCAATATAATATATCCACTAATCTATTCATTCCTTCTATGGTGCATTTAGACCTCCCATGATGGTCCCCTCGCAGTTCATTTCAGAGGGATGGAATTATATAGCTTTAAACTTTCTTCTTTACTCTTTGCTCCACTGTTTGAATTATTTATAATATATATGCACCATTTTTATTTTAAAAAGGACATACTGAATGAAAAGGTCTACTGAAGGTTTTACAAATGCTCAGCACAACCCTTCAAACTTCCGGGGAGAGAGAAAAGTATGCTGGTCAACGACACCTACTGAGTCTCTGTAAAACTCATCTAGGCTAATACTAAGAAAGAAGGAACACCACAAATGCTCTTCTTCCAATACTTACCAACTTTTAAAACAGTAGTCAAAATATTCACAACAGGTCTTTTATTGACCATGATGTGGTCTTTGTGAGCTGAGAGTAGTCACAGTTCATTATAACCACCACAGAATATTTCTAATACACAGGCTATATTTGAGTTTTAATATATCAATACTTTAAGACATCAAATGATCATTTTATGACAAGTCTATCATCTCTTCTACCTTTAATAAGAAAATACTCCTAAATTCAAGACATATGTCCAAGGAAAGGGTAAAATATATAGCTTATCTAAGTTAAATGCATATCTGTGAATCAAAACAATAAATTTAATACACAGATTATCTAATATATTAAAATAAGGCACATACCAGAAGTGGTGCTTCCACTGACTTAATAAATCGATAAATGTTCAGGGTAGTCAATGGCTGCCCCATTAGTGTTCTTCTACATTGCTGGGTCAAGTCCAAGACTGGTTTACAATGAAAAAAGTAGAGATGTGCATATTGTATATCCTCCAATCTGCAAATTAAAAATCAGGGACAGACCCACTTGAAGTTCAATGTGTGATCATTCTACCATCCAAAAAGGCATAACAAATTTCTTTAAGTATCATGTTTTTGAATAAATGTTTTAGTAGAAGCCTAAAAGAGTATAACATTAAAATAAAATGGACCTAAGCTAAAGATATAGAATCTTAAAGAAAACCTTTAACTGTAATATTTTTAACAAACCACATATGTTGCATAAGCAATTTTTCCCCTGAATTCTTTCATATGGTAGCTTCTAAACTAGGTGATAGGCAGGTCTACCTCAGTTTTTTTAAAGGCTGTCACCTTGAGGACAATAAGATTATCCTTAAATATAGTTTCTTTTCTAGAAATTTACTAAATAAAACTCTGTAACACAAATTCTCTAGGTTTAATTTAAACCCAAATCTGTTTTGAATAAACTTTAGCCAACACATGCCTTAATATAGAAACCATGTGCCACTTTGTGGGAGTTTGTGAATTTGTATCTGAAATATTATAAAACTCAGCAAATATGGTATATAATTTGAGTTTTGGCATTCCCTTCAATATGAGAATTCAAAGATAAACTTATAGTAGGTAGGACTTGTCAAAATTAAAATAGCGTTTAAAAAATCTCTATATGGCATTAGAAGGGTTTGGCAAAATACTTCAAAATTTTATTTTTAAAATGTTATTTTAATTCTTGATACATGCTTAAACTTAGCTCCAAAGCTCACTGATTTCAAATTTAATTATAAAGCAATTTCTAATACATTCAATGATTAAAGAAACGATCACCATAAATGACCCTGAATAGCCCCAGCAATTTTGAAAAAGAAGAACAAAGTAGGAGGGATAACAATACCTAATAATCAAACTATATTACAAGGCCACTGTAATCAAAACAGTCTGGTACTAGCATAAGAACAGACGCATACATCAATGGAACAGAACAGAGAGCCCAGAAATAAACCCATGTCTGTATGGTCAATTAATACTTGACAAAAGGGGCAGAAGCATAAAATGAAATAAAAATAGCCTCTTCAACAAATGGTGTTGGGGATCTGGACAGCTGTACGCAAAATAATGAAACTTGACCTCCACCATACACAAAAATAAACTCAAGGTGGCTAAAGGACTTTAATATAAGTTGAGACTCCATAAAGTCCTAGAGGAGAACACAGGCAGGAAAATCTTAGATATTCCATGTAGCAATATTTTTACCCTTATGTCCCCTAGAGCAAGGAATATAAAGGAAATAATAAATAAATGGGGCCTCATCAAATAAAAAGCTTCTGCATGTCTCAAGAAAACATCAGCAAAATGCAAAAGGAACCAACTGTATGGGAAAACATATTTGCCTATATTTGCCTCGAACAAAGGTTTAATCTCTAAAATAGATAAAGAACTCACACGACTCTACTCCAGGAAGACAATCCAGTTAAAAAATGGGCAAAGGACCTGAGCAGACACTTCTCCAAGGAGGACACAGAAAGAGCCCAGAGACATATGAAAGGATACTCAGCATCACTAGCCATCAGACAAATGCAAATTAAAATCACAATGAGATACCACTTCGCACAGGTCAGAATGGCCATCATTAAATGAACAAACAAGTGCTGGCGAGGTTGTGGAAAAAAGGGAACCCTAGTACACTGTTGGTGGGAATACAGACTGGTACAACCACTGGGGAAAACATTGTGGAATTCCCTCAAAAAACTAAAAATGGAACTGCTTTTTGACTTGACAATTCCACTGTTGGGACTACACCCAAGAATCCTGAAACACCAATTGAAAAGAACTTATACACCCCAAAGTTCATAGCAGCACAATTTATAATAGCCAAGTGCTAGAGGCTGCTAAGTGCCCATCAGTAAATGAGTGGCTCAAAAAACTATGGTACATTTATACAATGGAATACTACGCAGCAGAAAGAAAGCAGCAGCTCCTACCCTTTACGACAGCATGAAAGGAACTAGACAGCATTATGCTAAGTGAAATAAGCCAGGCAGAAAAAGACAAATACCATATGATCTCACCTATAAGTGGAACCTAATCAACAAAACAAACAAGCAAGCAAAAATATAACCAGAGACATTGAAATAAAGAACAAACTGATAGTAACCAGAGAGCGGGGAGAGGGATAACAGGGGAAAGTAGGGGAAGGAACATATATAAAGGAAACATGAACAATGCCAAAGAAGGGTAGGACTGAGTGTGGGAGGTTGGGGGAGAGTCATGGGGGGTAGATAGAAACAACTATACTTGAACAACAATTAAAAAAATAAATAAATATCAACAACAACAACAAAAGAAAGATGATCACACAAAGATTTACTGAATGCCTACTGTATACTATGCCCTGTGCTAAAATACAAAAGATTAAGATGAATAAGACAATTCAAATCCATGAAGGGCTTAAACTAAAGGAGATATATTTAGTAAAACAATTAAAATGTAGTTTTTAAGTGCCATAATAAACAAAGTGCTATGAGAAACAGAGAAATACTTAATATTGCCTCAAGTTGAGGAGGGGAAAGAAAGAAGGGATTCAGGAAGATCACAGCAAGGGAGACAAAGAATACTCTAAGAAGATAAAACAAATGGGTATTTCAGACAAAAACAGTATAGCCAGGCACAGAGTGCTTAAGTTTTTGAGGGGGCCCCTTAATAGTCACATATTGAAAAGTAAGTGTTGAGAATAGGAGGACCTTGCTGAGGCTAGAATTCATATCACAACTCCTGAAATAATGTTGAAAAGAAATTTAATCAGGGATCATTTGGTTACAGATAACAGAAACCAAAAAGAGGGATGGGGAGAAACACCTACTGGAAGTTTAGAAGAGTATCTCACTGAATACAGGGAAATCTAAAATAACTGGATCAGAGAGTAAATGTAGAGATCTGAATAGCAAGAGTTCTGAGACCTCCATTTTACCATTAAGTTTGCCTTCAACTCCCAACCTGCTATAAAGACAACTCTCTGGTTTACTTCAATATGGGCAAAACATTTCTGTGAGCAAGAGAGCCACCACACTGTATGATCATTTTTCTATGCCCAATTCTAAGTTTCTTGGAGAGGAGATCACATTTGCTCAAATAAACTGATGGACTGATTGGTCCTAGGTCAGCTGGCTGCCTCTAATTTAATAGAATGTGATATGTATGGGGTAAGGGTAACATCCTTCTTGGTCTATACACAGATTCTTTAAGCAGGGAATACAGGGAGGTAGCAGAAAGTACTGGTGTCTCTATGGCATGTTACCTCTTTTACTACCTGTCAAAATACCCCTTCTTAACCAACCTACAATTTCAAGTATAATAAGGTCCAACATTATATAACAATTGGTATACTAGCCTCATTGACTGCTACAGCCCCAGCAACTGGAACAGTTCTTAGCACACAGAAGGTATTCAATAAATATTTGTTAAATGAAAGAATGAACACGTGAAAGAAAAAAAGGCATTCTCTTCTCCCTCATCAGGAGACAGTCTAAAGTTATAGTCAACTACTTCACCCAGAGGTGGTGTAACTGGACTACTGTATTCTGAACCCAGAGTCCTTCCCTGTCACATCAGGTCCAGGTAGGACTCCTCACCACCTTATTATTCATGAATAAATGAGAACTCAAATATCTCCAATATTTCATATACTCAAAAGTATACCCAAATAGGATAACTGTATGTTTTTAATTCCCATTTTTAAGTGGAGAAAAGCAAATATTCTTTCAGAACACTACTGTGTCTAGTCATAGGTCAGAATAAAAAAAATATATAGCATACCTCGAAGAGGATTTTTAAAGTAAATAATAGGACTTATACATACCCTGCCAATAAATAACCACCCCTTGTGTTTTAAGCATGTCACCATTATTTGCAATTATTCATTACATGGAAAACAAGCTGGTAATACAAGAGAAAGTACAAACAATTAACCCTGAGAGAAACTGTGGGGCCACTGGAGAATCACCATGGCTGGAGAATAACAAGGCTTTCCCTGCTCCCGGGTGGGAAACTGGCAGCTGGGAGTAGCAGAGCAGCTGGATGAATGACTGCTTATTGTAGCTTGAGACTCAATGACTACTCGCAGTAAAGGTTTATGATACTATCAGCAAAAATCTCAAATTGTTCAAAATCTTGATTCTTATATGAGTAGTAAACATGCGTCAAGGTTTTATTTAACTCATTGACAAGGGGTCCAGCAGAATGACAGTTCAGTAAGAGACGAGTGGAAAAGGAATGCTGGCTGTCATACAGATCACGATAAATGCACAACTTCTCTGTGCTGGAACTTCATTTTCTGCCAACCCATTCTCCACCCCCTTACATCATTTAACTTTATCAGTCTCCTATGCACTGAATTTAGAGAGTTGTAAAATGTCTGGGACTTAATTACTTGTGTGTGGTGTATCAAATAATTACTATTTTCTTTTCTTTTTCAAGTCTTTTTTTAAAATTTTTATTTATCTTTAGAAGGGAAGGGAAGGGAAGGAGAGAAAGAGAGAAATATCAGTGTAAGGTTGCTTCTGGTGCATCCCCTGCTGGGAACTGGCCTGCAACCCAGGCATGTGCCCTGACGGAGAATCGAACCGTGATCTTCTGGTTCGCAGGCCCATGCTCAATTCACTGAGCTACAACAGCCAGAGCTCTTTTTCAAGTCATTTTTTATTGAATGTACTGGGGTGACATTGGTTAACAAAATGATGTACGTTTCAGGTGTGATCTAGGGATTTCAACATTTGCTGGGGCTCACACTTGGCTGAGTCCTAACTATGGGGAGTTGGGAGCTCAGCAGTGAACAAGGAGACTGGGACCTGTCCTGTATTTGCCCCAAGATGCAGAGCATGAACACCCAGTCCCTTGTCCAGTCTATCAGCTCCAGTCCACATGCCTTACATCAAAATCAGGAGACCAAGGCTACTAGAGAGGGTACTACTCCCCAGGGAAAGGTCAATCCTCCCACCAAAGACAAAGCCACACCAACATCAAGCCTATACCAAGCCCCTCATTTCCTACCAATACACTGTGAGTTGTTTACATCCAGTCTGTTGTCAGCCACCACTGAGCTTCACAGCTACAGGGCTTCTGCATGGCGCAAACCTTGGCAGGAAGTCAGAAGTGGCACTTAGTAACCGACTCAGTGAAGAGGACTGCAGTCCTCTTTCCATACTTCTGACCATGGTAAGGAGCAAGTCTCACTTTGATGTCAGTGTCTGAAATCCTTCCCGGAAGTGGGCTAATCTCTCTTGAACAAAATCATCAGGATTTAGGGTCCAGAACCTTTGGCAGGTAACAGTATTCGGGGGTCTGGCAGAAGTAACGCCTGCTTGAGTGTGGTTGGTAGGGTAATAATATGGGTGTAATAATTTATAGTTTTCATTTGAACATTTTACCTAAGTCATATGGTGTGTTTGAATGTGATATTATATTACGGAACTACATGCTTTTAACTTTGTAATGAAAAGGGGGCATTATTTGTGTCAGACCCTGTATGATTAAAATTTAGTATCATTTTCATGGCATTTTAGAATTAACTTATTTCTGTATTCCAGTTTTATTTATGTTTACTGATAACAGTATTTAATGATTCCTGACAGGATGTGGTTAGGATCAAAGACGGTGATATATGTTTCAGGATTCAGTGACAGGGCTGGGAGTTACAGTTTGAATCATGGCTCTGCCACCGTCTTGGAAAAAATAAAACTTTTTGACCTGCACTTTTTCCTAAGGAAAATGGAAATGCAGGCTGAGATGCTCCTTTGCCCCCAAAACAAGGATTTAAAAATTGCCATTTGTCCAGCACACCCACAGTACAAGTAAAAGGTCTAAGCACCAATACTCACAAGCAAAGCACAAGACAAAATCACAACAAAGCTGGCTGTTTCATCTCCTGGTTTTAGAAACTGGTCATAGGCCACCTAGGTGAGAAAGTTAGTCTCACTCTGTACATTTAGTTTTTAAAGTATGATTACCATAACCTAGCTAACTGTCAGTTAACATGTTCCTTTCCATAGGATTCTGTGTTTTAAAGGTTTCCGAAGTATAACATAACCAGAATGTATGATTCCCTATAGATTTCAAGGTCAGAAAATGTTTTATTATTCCAACTCACTTTAACATCACTATTAATACACAAATGGTAAAAGGAGGTTGTTCTGCAAAAAGTTTCTCTGTAAAATCCAAAGCCATACCAATGTTAATCTCTAGCTTGGTACTGCTTATATAAAATGTTACCATTTAGGGGAAACTGGACAAAGGGTACAAAGGGTGCCCTGTATTATTTTTCCAGTTTACTCTGTAAATTATTTCAAAGTAGTTATTTCAAAGTAAATTAAAATAAAAATGCTACTCATGAAAATTAGAGTATAAACACTGCAGCTTAAAATTAAAAACAAAAATCTGAATGGTTTTAGAAGAGCCTGGAAATCACCTGTCAGAACTAATGCCTTGCTCAAGGGGGGCCACAAGGCCCAATAAAAGAAGCTTACTTACTTACGTATAAAGCCCATTACTAACCCTGGCAGTGATTAACATTATATGGTCTTGTCGCTTCTGCTCTCCCCAACTCCTACACCAAAAAGGCTCTAAATTAAGCTCTGGCTGGCGTGGCTCAGTGGATTGAGCGCTGGCCTGTGAACCAAAAAGGCTGAGTTAGCTTCAGCGTTGGGAAAATGTGAGAGGGAGGAAGACTCCCTAGTTTTGTGAAAACCCAGCGAGGACATTCTGCATATAACTTATTTCAGTCACGCTGCACCTGAGGCTCACTTACACCAACTGCACGAGTTCCGGGCAACTAGTCTGCCAGCACTCGGAGCTGGGTCCGGATCCAGGCCTCACTGGGTTTCATCTCGGGCCCTCCCCATCAGCCTGGCTCAGGGCCAGCTTGTTCTTCTTTTTATTCTGCAAGACCTGCTCCTCCCATAGCGCCTGATCCACCTGATCCACCTGATCATCGGTGAGCACGAAGGGCTGAAACTTCTCATCAAAGAGCCACTCACTGGCTTCCGAATGCAGCTGATGGGCCCCGAAGACAATGCGCAAATGTGCTAGCAGGTGAAGGAACTCGTCGTCGTCGTCGTCGATGTCGTACTCACGCATCCGAGCCCCCAGCACCCACCAGCGGCCCACGAAGCCACGTCCAAGATCCGGCCTGGGAACTCCGCCCAACGGGGCTGCAGATAGCTGCAGTGGGCCTGGTAAAGGCTGGACTGGGCGTCGTAGGGAGCCTCATACACCAATGAGCAGAGGCCTAGACTCACGTGGCACAGTCGCCCTTGGCCCCACAGCCAGAGCAGCTGCTGCACACAAGCTTCCGAGTCGCGTTGCGGTTTTGTGTGGAGGGTGCCAGCAGCAGCAAGGTCCCAGACTTCGAGCAGCGCCTCCTCGAAGGCCTGCTTGCTGGTCGCTGCGCCAAAGCCTACGTACACAGTGGCACAGCAGGGCCGGGCCACACCAAGCCTTCGCGTGGTCCCGGAGCAGTGCGCAAGCCCAGGCACCCGACCTCGCCCACTCGCCTGGCTGCCGAGTCCCCTCTAATTACTATTTTCTAACAAAACAGTCGGCAAGATGCAAAAACTAGCGAGGTATAAAAGGGTCACATGATCACCATTTGGCCCTGCTTTGGATTAATTTTCCTGAATATTTTAAAGCCAAAAAGAACATTTTAAAGTCTTTAAAATGCACTGGCCATTCCTTGTGTCCCTAAATACTAAAAAGAAAAACTTTAAGCCTATGGAACCCAGACAACAGTCAAAAGAAGGCCTCTACCTAAAATTGTAAGCTAGGAAGTAGACAAAAAAAGTAAACATCTAAAACATTCTATTCAAAAAGCTGTACTTTATATACTTAAGATTATGAGAAAGTAAGTTATAGAATCCTCAGAAAGACTTTGTGGAGCTTAATTATGAAAGCTGTTATTTTATCACCTATCTCATCGCTGTGGACAATCCATTCCTGAATACACTTGGACTCTCATAGGATCACATCTTGTGTCTTACCCATATTGTCTTCATTCACCTTAGTCTAACATCACTTCTACATATTTAAATTCATTTTCAGACAGTAGTACAGTGGATAATAGTAATGAAGGTGATTTCAGATTTCATTTATATGTTCACATCTGCTTACAATTTCTCTTAAGTCCATGCTGTGAGAGTATAATGGAAATGATAAATACCTACTGTGAAATAAATAAACTTAAAATTGTTGACATATGCCACTTATACATACCCAATACTTTCCAAAAGGGCAATTTCTGTGGTTAGGACAAATTGGTATGTGTTCCCATACACAAAAGCAGCTTCCATGACTGCCCTGTGCTCTGAAGAAGTAAGAGAGTTGGGAGAGAGGAGGAGTTAGTTTGTGTGACTCTATATAAACTTCTGTTCTCTAGATTGCCCTACAACCTTTTATGCTCTACTTCATTTTTATTTTATTTTATTATTTATTTTATTTTTAATTTTATTTTAATTGTTGTTCAAGTACAGTTTTCTGTCTTTTACTCCCACCCCAGCTCACCACCCCCCTAGTTTTTGTCCATGTGTCCTTTATACATATGCTCTATTACATTTAAAGACAAATCCTTTGTAGGGATCCCGCTTGGGAAAATGCAAGCAGTTAAAGAAATTATGAAAAGCCTGCTCTTCATAATTCAAAGTAAGAGGAGAATTAAGGAGCAGAAAAAGAGTTATATTTGACAATGTAACATGAAAAAATCTGTGAGAGCTTCTTCCTAGTAGAAGGGAAGAGAATACGAATCCACCATACAACTTTTACATGTTACATATCTGTATTGTTTCTTGGCTAAGTTTTTTTTGTAATCAAACTTATTCTTGAATATAGTTTAAAGAGAAAACTATCATTCCTCAGGCATGTTAAGAAAAAGAGTTTCTCTACCTTCCACCCTATTTCCAATTTCCAAGGAACAACTACTTTCAACTCTTTTATTGTTTCTTTAGATATTTACCTCTAAGTCTCTAACTTAGATTGTTATATTCTTATTTTCTAATTTTTTTGTTAGTCTTATCTACTGATTTCCCACAGGAGAAAATGATAAATTAGCTCTTTTTTCCAAAACTCCACAAATATACACATTTCTATCCCCTCAATTTTCCCAATATAGTTCTAATTTTTATTAAATCAATAGTCATTGTTTATATTGTTATGAGTCAGTAAATACTATTTACAAATGAGCCATACAGTAGAAAATGAACACTTTTCCTTTACTGAACTCTTTTCACTATAGTTATATGTTGGGAACCACTCTGCCTGGTTTCAGACGTTATAACTGCCCCCCATGGCTAAGGCTGAGTGTGACCTCCAGACTTAAAGCCACTAAGGAGACAAAGTTTATCCCTTGCAGGGACACTGCTTCTGCTTCATCCCCTGCCCCCAACGCTTGGTCAGTTAGTCAGAGACCAGTACGACCCCTCAGGGGGGGCAACCTAAGCCAGACATGATCACTTGGGAGGCTTTCAAGGAAGGACTTGGGGGTTGCAGCAAAGAGGGAGTGATGGACCCTCGCCCCCCCCCCCCAGCTATTCTAACATAGCCTGAGTCCCCATGTCGTCTGGGAGAAGTGCTTCCTGGCTCTAATCCACTTAAGCCTAAAAACCTATGACTGGGAAGGCGGTGCAGCCCTTTGTGGGCTAGAGAGGGTCCCAGGTGATTGGGTATAAGAAAGAATTCCTAAAGTCCTGTGAAGCCCACTTTGCTAAAAGTACTTTCATTCATATGATAAGGGTCCAAGCAGGAAATGAGTATATCTCCCAATGTTTTTGCAACCCCCTTACCTGACAGATACTGACTCAGATTAAGCCCTCAGATTTCTCTGAATTGTTATCTATTATTTGATCCTTGCTGCCTGACATTGATTGATGAGCTTTACTTGTATTCCTGTGTATTACAACCTAATAAAAGCTGTTGAAGAAGAGGTTCTTGGTCCTTCTCCTCTGAGAGACTGACCACCTCTCCTCCCCAAGCAGATCATGTCTTGGTAGTTTCACTTTCATCTGTGGTGGACAGGGGGACTTGCTGCAGGCAAAGTTGCCCCTACAGTTATACCTATTTTTTCTTTATTTTTGTATATATTTATTACTAATTTATTCCTAAATTCTTGCACAACTGCCTAACCTTAACACTTCAAATATATCAAGTATACCATCTATTCCCTCTTCTGCAGAAATGCCCTATATAAACCATTGCTACTTTACCTGCTATGCAACTTTCATCCTAAGAACTCACTTCATCATCATCCCAGGGATCTGTTATTCTCTCTCATGTATTAGCTCCATTGGCCTGTTACCCATGTCTTCTTGACTGATTTGCCCCCCCCATTCCCATTCTCTAGCACTTCCTATGAGAGGAAATATGGAATACACATTTTTTTGCAAGTTTGCACTTCTGGAACTGTCTTTATTCTACTTTCATATAACTATAGTTGTCTGCTTATAGAATTCAATGTTTGAATCATTTTCCTGAGAATTTTAGTTTTCAGGGCTGCAACTGAGAAGTCCAATGCCATTTTGATTCTTGATCCTTCAACTGCAAACTTTTTTCTTTCTGGAATATTTGAGAATAATTTTTGTTCCCAATATTCTGAAATTTCCAAATGAGATGGTCTGGTGTAGATCTACATGCATCCACTATGCTGGGACTTGATAGGTTCTTTCTATTTGGAAGCTTGAATCCTTTGGTTCTGGGAAGTTTTCTTGAAGTGCTTCATTGAAGATTTCTTCCTTTTCATACTTTATTTTCCCCCTTTTCCTCACTATCCTTTCAAGGCAGTTACCTTCCCCTCCACTACCTAATCTTGTACCACTTGCATCACATATCATCAAATTATTCCACTCACCATGCTGCCTTGCTGGAGTCATTTACCTCCCCAGCTAGGGCCACTCTCCCTCATTACAAAAAGATTTTACCTTCTGTCACATTGTCGCTTTCCCCAATACCACTTCTGTCACAATCCTTGGTGATTTTATTATCCCCATAGATGGTCCTTTCAAAATCCTTGGCCTTGCCTATAGACTCCAATGATGTTTCTTTAATCCTACCTTTACCACTCAGTGCTCTGGTCCCACTGCAGGCCTTTAATTAGCAATTACTGCAAACTCCTCCATAATTTCAATGTCTAGCACGATCCCTCTCCACCCCCATTCCTCCATCTGACTAGGTCACTCAGTCTGGTACAGAACTCTAACCCTTCAGGACCTATAATGCTACCCACTTTTCACTGTCAGTCACCCCCTCAAATCCTCTCTTTTCTCTTAACTCAGCTTAAATTCCATAGTCAATCTTTATAATCACTCCCCTGCCCATTTGGCCTAAACACAATCCAGGTTAAATCAAACATAATGCCTATTCTGTACTTACAAATTGATTCTATCAAAGTTAGACTTTTGAAATATCAAGAAAAATATCTCATAAACAGCAAATACCAAAATACCTAAAAAGAAAGCTAGTGAGTCAACAACATTTACCAAATGCTATAAACTACTACACCAGGTACCATGAGGGCTATAAAGAAATAAAAAATAATAACAGCTAACACAGAGTACATATTACATGCCAGAAATTATTTTAATTATTCAAGCTCATCTGGTCCTTACAATAACACTAAGAGGTAGGCACTTTTTTTTTCACCATCTTAGTGAATAAGAAGCAGCCTAAGTAAGTTGTCCAAGGTCATACTCTAAGTAATTAATGGAGCAAGGGGTCTAATCTAGGCAGTCTGGCTCCAGAGTTCAATTCAACCACTATGTTATGCTGCCAGCTGAAAACAAAACATAATAGTAAAGATGCTTTACATTTATTTTAAAATATTAAGACTGTGGTCAAAATACACTATTTTAAGTCTTTAATATACTCACACAAGTACAGACATAGCAAAGATTAAAGTAAAAGTTAATAAATACCTGGTGTTCCAATGGCTCTTACATATGAAAATACAATGTTTGCTTTTCCTTTCAGAGCATTTTCTATATTCTGAAGGTTTTCCAGGGTGGTAATATATTTTACTTCATTAAAAAGTAGGGCACTAAAATAAACAGAGATGTAATTAGAAAAAACTGTATGAACTTAGTTATTTAATACATATTTGTTAAGTACAGTAGTACCACAGTACTCGTCATTAATTCATTCCAGAACTCATGATGAGTGTCGAAACCAATGAGTACCCAACTGTTTGCGAGCGACCATGAGACTGATACTTCAGACCTGTTTCATCATGCGAGAGGGGCGCCGAGTGGCGAGTAAGCACTGAGTGCTAAAACATTTTTTTCTCATCAAAATGCTATCAGTACAGGGTTTGATGAGTTCTGAAGATGAGTATCCAGGTATAACTGTAAATTAAAGAACCTACTAATAAAATTTAGTGAGAAACTACACATCTTATTTATTTATTCTTAATTTAGTGATTTTAGCGGGGGGGGGAGTGGTAGTGGGGGAGAGAGACAGACATCAATTTGTAGTTCCATTTATTTATACTCTCATTGGTTGATTCTTGTATGTGCCCTGACTGGGGATTGAACCCATAACCTTGGCTTACTGGGATGACTCTCCAACCAGCTGAGCTACCCAGCCAGTGCAAGAACTTAAGCATTTTAACACTAAACTAAAATCACTCTCCAAATCATTAGTCTGTCCCTAAGAGCATCAACCAGGGACAGTTGTGAGTAGTGGTGCTCATTCTCCATCACAACCACCTCAACGAATTTAAGCTGTATTCACTAACATCCTAGGCTGGTCAAATAATCCCTTACAGTTAGTTTTCTCAACTTGAATACATTTGATCCCTTCACACACTTAAAATGCAGGCTTCTTTCCATGGCCTACAAGGCCCTGGATGATCTAGACCTTGCCTACTTCTCCAACCTCACTTTGTTCTACCATTCCGCATGTATACCATACTTCAGGCTCACCTCAGGCCTTTGCAAGCACAATTCTGTTTGCTGAAAGCTACTCCCTTGCTCCTTCTCAGACATCTGGTCTTTCAGAAGCCTTCTCTATTGGTCCTATGTAAATAGGTCTGTAGCATTTTTCTCTTTCATTTTACATTATTTGATTCCTTCCTAGTATTTAGCACAATTTACAAATATTTATATACTTATATACTGGTTTATTCCTTCTCTCATTAAACTGTTACCTTCCTGAAGCAGGTACCTTGCACATTTTACCACTATTTCTGTAATAACTTAAAATAGAGCATAGTATATAGTAAATAATAAATATTCATTGAATGAATAAAAGAGTAGAGTAGAAATTATTTATTCCCATTCTTCACTTGAAAACACTGAAAACAAGTTCAAAACACTGAAAAGCTTACTTAGTTGACAACATTTACTGAATGAAGGAGCCAGGAACAGAACACAAAACAGGGCTTATTCCTAGTTCAGTAATCTTTCTACTCGACCACAATTCTTCCAAATCATCTTTTCAGTGTGTTAGACTAACTAATTATATTTCTTCATCCAAAAGAATCTTTATTAATGTTCTACTTCTATATAAGTTCTCTAATAACTCACTTCACTTTTCTGTGTGCATGTACATGTATTTTTCTTAGGCAAACTTTAAGGATTCTTGAAAGTCATTCCAAGTCCACATGCTTGAGCAAAGGTTTATTCAGCGGTCTCCAACAAATTAGTCAAGTATTGTTTTCCTATAATGGAAAACATGGGACTTTTTGCTAATACTGCAGTTCTTAAACTCTTTGGTCTCAAGATACCTTAACAGCTCTAAAAACAGCTCCTCAAAGAGCTTTTCTTTATGTAGGTTACATCTATCAATAGTTGCCAAAATAGAAATTAAAACGGGAATTTTTAAATGTTTATTAATTCTTTTTAAAACCATAATAAACACCATAGTATGTTAATATAAATAATACTTTCTCCTAAGAAAAGCAATTTTTCAAAACAAAAGAAAAACAGTGAAAAGAGTGGCATTGTTTTACATTTCTGCAAATCTCCTTCATATTAAACTAAACAAAAGACAGCTGGATTCTCATAGCTGCTTTTGCATTCAATCTGTTCTGACATCACACAACACATCACTAGCCTGTGGAAACTGCACTCTTAAAAGAATAAAAGTGGAAAAAGGTAAAGAATGTGTTAATATCATTAGAAAAGTATTGTGATTGCATGAACACCCTGAAAGTACTGCTCTAAATTACAATGGCTTAAATAGTGACTTATTAAAGATTTCTTCAACTTTTTAAAAGAAAAGTAAAATGTGACCTACTACAATTCCCAGGGTTCTTGTTTTGTTTTTTAAAGAAATATTTACAGAGTAGTGCTCACTATATGTGAGGTATTGTCACAGGATTTCATTTAAATCCTCAACAATAATCTTGGAACATTCTTTTTTAACACATGCATGCAGGTAACAGTTTGAGGGATTAAATAATCTGCCCCAGATCATGTGGTAGTCACTGGTAGAGCTGACACTAAGCTGGCCTTCTGACACTAAAGCCAGGACCTGTAAACTGCATTATTACTGACCACTCTTGTAAATGGGAAACCAGGCAGAAAGGCAGGCAATGAAGGAGTGGCAGGGGAGTCTCAGTGACAATTCAGGCTATTGGTGGCTTATATATTTTGGCTAACAAGTCCAGAATTACTCTTGAGTTACTTCAAAACAGTTGGTTGGTGCCATCTAGTAAACTTAATGGACTTCCACGTAAATTCTAGCCTTGGAAATTATACCCACCCTTTAACTTTTATTGCACTAGCCCTAATGTATGTGCTTGGAAAATCAGATCTGGGAAAAGAAATCTCCCGAACCTTTTTTCTCAAATAAGCACTGGCAAATATAAATTAATAAAAGCCAACATTTTGGGGGCACTTGCCCCATGTCAGGCATAGTACTAAACATTTTATAGTACTGGCAGTTAATCAGATTTCAGACTCCTCCTCTCTTTTGCTTTGAGAACTCCCAGTTTTCTAAGTCTTTGTGGTAAGCAGAGGCCTCCTCATATAAGAGGAATGAATCCCCTCATAAAATCTAATATTATGATAAACTTCTTTCCCAACTTCTCTGCTGCAAGGCACAGCTATACGACCCAGAATCACTTGTCTGACATTTTGGACAAGGAGCTAGTGATACAAAGAATTGGGGACAAAGCGGAATTATTTCAAGAGGCAGCAGCAGCAACAGTCAGCTCCAAGGCAGCAGTGAGAACAGTACTGATGACAGCCCCAGAACAGGAGATGCAAGCTCTCTCACCCAATACCTTGGCAATGCAGCCATCCCCTCCAGACTAGTTCTGTGTCATGAACTTGACTATATTTCAGAGCTGTATAAATTGAGTCCAGTTCTCCAGCTCTTCTAACAAGTCAGATATATCTGCTCCAAATCCTTTTCTGCTTAAGCCAGTCAGACCCAGATTTTAGGGTTATAACTAAGAATACTCAGCAATGCACTGTTTTAATTTTCATGGCAACCATCTGAGAGTAGTGCCATCCTGAACTCCATTTTACAGATAAGCCCACGGGGCTTAGAGAGGTTACCTTGCCTAATGTCCCAAAGCTCATTAAGTGGACATTATCCATGAGGTAATATAAACCAAAACTATTGATATTCTACCTACTGATCTCTATGATTTTCCCCAATGGCTTCCTAACTTTATTTTTTAATGTTAACTTCCAGAATACAGGCATACCTAGGGATCTTTAGGATCCTTTCCACAAACCTGCTACTTCACTCCAGTTTCAAGGAGGAAAAATACTGACAGAAATGGGTTAAAGAAGAAATCTGTCTTGGGATTTTCTTTTCTTGTCCTAATGATGCAGTAAAATTTCTCATGCATTCTACAATATGAATATTATTACTACATTCTAATTACTGTTGTTTTGTTTTTCCAGTGTTATTCTAAATAACAAAAATTCAGTAAGGTAGAAGGACACAAATTTAATAGAAAGAAATCAATATCTTTCATATACATATATGTATATATTATACATATAAGTATGTTATATATCTACATTTTTATATTAAAATAGATGTGTTAGAAGACAATGTAAGAAACACCTATTTATAATAGAAACAAAAAAGACAAAATACCTTGTAATAAGTTTAAGTGTCTAGGCATATATGAAGAAAGCATTAAAATATTACTAAAAGACACAAAAGAAATTGGAACAAATAAAAAGACTTCAGGTTCTGGGATGGTAAGATTTACTATAAAATGTCAACTGTCCCTAAAATAACTTACAAATTTGATGCTAGTAGGATTTAGTCAGAGAGGGGAATAAATTGGACAAGTTAATTTTTAATGTTATCTGTAAATGAAACAAGCAATTCTTTTTTTAGTTACAAAATTAATTTTATTTTATTTTTTCCTTTTTTAAATTGTTTTTCAAGTACACTTGTCTCCAATTTTCCCCCACCCCATTCGTCTGTGCCTCCCATCCTCAATCCTACCCCCTTTGACTTTGTCTATGTGTCCTTTATACATGGTCCTCAATGACCTTTCCCCTACTTTCCCCATTATAATTCTTAAAAGAGAAATATGAAGGAGCCTGGATCTTTCAGGTATTATAAAACCTCAATAACTAAAGCAATGGTACTAGTATACAAATGGATAATTGAAATATGAAGTTAAAACATAGACCCAAATATATATATGAGTGATCAGTATAAATAATGGCATTTTGAATAGTGAAGACATTCATTAATCTCAGTTGTGTTGGGACAACTATACTGTAGCCATTGGCTCTTATACAGCTAAATCCATCCCTCATACCATTCACCAAGTTAAATTCCAAACAGATCAAAGATTTAAATAGAAAACTGAAACCATGAAAACACTAAGAAATACACCTACAGAAATAAGTGTCTGACCTTTGACAAGGGAGAAAAGCCACTTAGTGGAGAAAGGGTGTTAAAACAACTGGACATCACATGCAAAAAAGTAAATCCAGACACTAACTTCACAACTTCCACAAAAATTAACTCAAATGGATCACAGGCCTAAATGTAAAATGTACAACTATAAATCTTCTAGAAGATAACATGAAAGAAAATAGGTAGCCTTGGGTATAG